CCCTGTTCTATAGTTAATTTGTTCTGATTTTAACCTTCACAAGCTCCGATATTGCATTTCATACTGATTTCAACTCAGTTTCCAGACTTATGATTATGCAGAATGCAGATCATACATAATTGTTGAGTGTATATAGTTAGAAATTTTCTACTGTATGTTTTTCCTATTTTCTGTATCCCATCCATGACTCAATATGCCGGCACTTATAATTATATATTTTCATGGGATACAAGGCTTGGTATGTATGGGTTGAATCTACATTACTGCACTGTGGTGCTACACTGTGGACCTAACAAACTTGAGAGATTGCGACTATGATTGAATTTTTTGTGTTATATTGTGTGATCCATTTCGTTCGTGAGAACATCGAGTTTCATTCTGAACAAGGGAGGGGATCTGTCACGGACCATAGTGTCCGTGTTTATATTGTGTGTATATATATATTTATGTTTATAAACTGTGATGTTGACCCTTATTCAATGCTGTTTTGTCAGAGCTGGACTCCGACCACTCACTACACGTGAGAGAAAAACTATGTATTTCGCTCTCTTTCTCCGGCCTCTGTGCTGGCGGTCGGTTGTGTTCTCAGTTTTTTAGTGATGTTTTGTTTGACTGTAATATTGGAGTTTCAATAAACAACCAATCCGGAGCCCTTGAATCTTCTGATGCAACCACAGTAGTAACATCTTCATACCGTGACACTATAACCGTCAAGGCGGTGCCGATGGGGGAATGACGTCATGTGATCGGTTCGATAGACCAGTGATTTTCAACCTTTTTTGTACAGCGGAACACATTTTTTAATCTGAAATTGTGGCGAAACACCAAACGAAATTTTTGGAAATAAACTATATTATGCAGTTAACTGACGTCGATCATTTCGGCATGAAAATAAAATATATAGTATATAGCTCGTCAACTTTAGGAAAAGACGTGACACATTCCGATTCAGGGCTACAAGAGCTAAAGTACGGTACAAATAAATGTTTTTGCAAGTTTGCTTATGAATACTATGATTACGGTAGCTAGAAACAGAAATGGTATTTTAGTGTGATATTTGTGTCTGTTTCGATGAGTTTCAAATAATTTATTCCGTAATCGAGGAGAGACAAACACGCAGCTCTTTCCCAACGGCTCTCAATTTATCGCGTTTTTTTTTATACGCAACAGGAGTCCAGAAGGTCGGAGGTCGATTTGGAGATTAATAGAAACATTGAAAATTGGCAACAAAGCGATTTTACTGTTTAACTTCGTCATAATCGCTATTTTTTGCCCCTTGAACGTTTTCATATTACCGCCTTTGTTCTTGTGCGCAAGTATTAATTCTTGTCGATCGGCGGAGATCGAAGTTTCATATTTTGGTATAACTATATGCGTTCACTTCGGCGACAGATGTTAATGACATTAAGGAGCGATTTTAAATTCCAACCTAATTTTATTCTGATTTTTATCTTTTGCGCTGGCTTAGATTTAACTTATCGCCGTTTGCAAATTAGACGTCCCAGTTTAGCGAATAATATTATCATTATCAACAACGGGATGCACACATTTATTAAGACGATAATTGAGTTTCTTATGCACCACACTGGTGTCAGTGTTATTTCCGGAATAAATCAATTAGATACTGTGATTAGATAAATTTGTGATTGCGTGAATCCTGAATGTTGATTTAAAAGCTGAAATAAAGGCATTTCTACGTGGTCATATTAGGCGAGATGACGATGAAGAGAACTCATTTAACGATATCTTACATGCGCGACCTGGTGCCAAAAAAATTGTAAACAATTTTTTGCCCAATTGCTTTTGTGCTGATTAGACGCTGACTAGAATTAAAAACCTCGAGTTTTAACATTTTCTTTTCCAACAAAACAATACCGCGACCATTATCATAGCTAAAATCGTTACCTAAAAATTCCCAATTTTATTTACGGAATTTGCAAATTCAACACTTTACTTGACGATTCTGATGAAAACTGCAAGTACTATTACTGCAAGAAAAGCTTAAAAATGCAACGAATGTAATCAACTCCGATGATGACTCCATTCATGGTTGAGTATAATGTTCACATTTTTGAAACATTATTTGGTCAAGAATGGAATGGATCACTAAAAATACACGCCGAGATAAAGTCTAATAAAAGGGAATATGGTCTGTTACTTCTTATCTGGTTACGAGTTTTTTATACCGACTTTCCTCGCCGTTTTCAAATCGACTCTATTTATATTATTCGAATGACGTCATAATACTTCGAAAAAGCAATTTTTCGCGGAACACCTGTTGAAAATCACCAGTAGCCTACCTGTCAAGACGGCCGCGCTTTGTTTTCAAGATGATAAATGAAAAATTGCTCGGATTTTGGAGGTGGGGTGGCAAGAAGAATGAATTGTCTCCTGCAGATAAGGCCCGGTCGATAAGATGAGTCGCGTCTCTCGTCTCAATTTCGCACCATAAACTCGCGTTAGGCAACGTAGATGTGTTTTGTGCCTTTGTTTCAATAAAAACGCACCTCTATTTTCGAGCGTTGGCCATGTGACAGCAGTGAGGAAACGCGAAGCAGCAGTAACAACAAATTGTTTTGTTATTTTGTTCATGCTTCATATATTTTTCCCAAAATAAAAACGCTATAAATGCAACATAACAATCGGCTGATTAGAACGGTAAACTCGGCGCGGCGGTGTGGCTCAACGGGCTAAGCGTTAGGAATACGCTTGCCACCGCACCTCTAACTACTGCGGGTTCGCAGGTTCGAATCCCATGCAGGAATGGTTATATGCGAGAGGATTGCTGGACTCCTCGCCGTCGTTGGGTGGTTCACGTAACGCTGGTCGGTTACGGCTTCCTCCACCACCAAGTCCATGCTTCCGAAAAACAAACAATACAGTAAAACTAATCTCATACCCGACTTGGAATGGTAACCGGACGAGAGGCCGTGGTTTGCCATATGGATAAGCCTTCTTATCGGCTTTCCTCTCCCCCGGGATAAATATGTAAATCCTATCCTATCCTATTTTTGCCACGAATTTTCATTCATGGTTGTAAACAATAACTCTTTTTCGTGGTTGTGCAGGGTAGCCTATTTGCCATTTTTTAGTTATGTTTCCCAAATTTGATCATGAATCAAATAACTCTGTAATCATTTCGTCGTCCTAAGTGTTTTAGTTAAATTTTAGTAATGTAGTAGTGATACACTAGGCTAAGCTAATCTTCTTCTTGTATTCTTGTAATAATTTTTTTTGGTGGGCGGGCGCGTACTTTTACGTTTTTTAACTTTATTTTAAGTTATGCTCGACTTCCAGGTATCTTTGCATTTTGTTTGTTTGTCCAGTTTTTGTGTTGTTTCGTTTTATGTCAGAGTACCAAAATAAATGATTGATTGATTGATTCTACTGGCACTCTCAAATGGTACGTGATTCCATATTTTATTTAAAAATTATATGGCTGCAAACGCGATTCGGGGGTCAAAGGTCGTAGGGTACATGGAGATCACATGTTTCATTCATTTATGTAGGATAGGATAGGATTTACATATTTATCCCATGGGAGAGGAAAGCCGAATATGGCGAACCACGGCCTCTCGTCCGGTTACCGGTACCAGTCCAGGTCGGGTATGGGATTAGTTAGCCAGTTATTTGTTTTCGGAAGCATGGACTTGATGGTGGAGGAAGCCGTACGGTAGGTACCGGTACCAGCGGTTACGGTACCGGTACGGTACGTACGTGAACCACCCTACCCACATGATCATTCCCGCATGGGATTCGAACCTGCAAACCCACGAAGGGTAATCAGAGATGCGGTGGCGAGCGTATTCCTAACGCTTAGCACGATGTTCTATAGAAACTGCCGGAAGCACAGTATGACGCGATTTCGTCGAGATATGAACCATTGCAAATTTCATATGCAGTTACAACTTACAAGGCATCGGAAGTTACGGTACCGATACCTGCTTTTACGGTACCGGTAGTTATTTGTTTTCGGAAGCATGGACTTGATGATGGAGGATAGCCGACCAGCGGTTACATGAACCACCCTGCGGCCTGACAGTGGCGAGGAGTCCAGCAATCCTCTCGAACATAACTATCCCCACATGCAGACATGGGATTCGAATCTGTGAACCCACGCAGAGTGATCAGAGGTGCGGTGACGAGCGTATTAGGAATAACATATGCAAAAATGGGATCTAGTAGGTATAGTTTAGTATCATAAGTACTTCCGGTGGGCGTAGTATACCGGTAACAAACTTTGTATATGTTATTCCTAACCCCCACCTGACTACTGGACTATGTCATCCAAAAATTACGCCAACTAGCCAGGCCAACTAGAAGTGCATGTGGTACAGTGGTACTAAACTCTGAAACTATACCAGACTCCAAAAATGTCTGTGCTACGACTACTAGAAGTACTTGCGGCATTTAGTTAACATGCACCCTGATATGATACTCTGATATGAAATCTAAGGGATTTTTATCACAAAACTGGAGAGAGCAATATAATTGTATAAAGTATAAGTTTTATTACCGTCAGTATCTCACATAACTGTATAAATAGCTGAAACATAGACTACGGATGTACGGCAGAAAGTTGAACTACAAACAGACACAGCTTATATGTGTAAAGTATAAGAGTGGAACAATAACACGCAACAGCAATGTAAGCCATCACTGTTACCACAGTACTATGTCATTTAAATGCTGATGTCAGGATGTTGAAAAAAATTTTGTGCAATTAACTTAAAAAAACAAACTAAGAAACAGCAGAAAGACAGATTCACTGAATGCAATAGTAATCATCATTAAATTTAAACCAATTCCAAATAAACAATGTTGCGCGTCATATAAGGAATCTGTTACGATTTCAAAAAAATATGTAGAGCAGAAACATATAAAAATCCCTCTGACAGCTGTAGCAACAACTTCAAATGATCCTTAAAATCTACTTTGTAATGTAATATAATGACCTATTTGCACACTCTCTTGTTTTGTTGATTTTTATTAAATTTAGTAACTTCATATTTAGAGATATTTTTTGCCTGTTTTGTCTTCCAATCTAGTTGGTCTAGTTGACGATGCCGAGTTTTGAAGTTGGAATTCTGATTTTTTTGTTATGCAATGCACTAGGTATGTACGGATAATGATATATGACTTATTTCATTGTATTTCAGTTTTTAGTACCTTCAGTCTACCTGTATAGGGGTACCTTGGCAGTACCATTTGCGGTAGTTACCTGTCTGCCATTGCTGGGTATCTCTTCCAACGAGTTAGCGCAACCGACTGAAATGTCTTGTCTAAGAGCCAGAAATTCTTAATCTTAACATTAGCAAATCTTCTCAATTTTCAAATAAAATCTTAATGCAAAAGTACTTTTATTCAAAAAACATGTTTAAAATATCTGAATGGAACAGAAATATTGAATTAGGTAAAAAGTTTTGAAATGTAAATATAATGAAATAAAGAGGGCAAGATCCATTCTCATAAACATATTATTTTAATTATGGTAGCATCACGTACCTCAAAAAATTGTCTTCATCTCTCACCTTTTGAGAACCTCTGATTTAAATGCATGGTCTTGATAGTGCTGGAAGCCGTAATTGCTGAATTGACCCGTCGTTACAGGGTTACAAGTAGGGATATCGCAATTCGGCATACTGAATCCGTTCGATTCGAATCCAAAAGGAGTTTATATTGTGCATGTTTATTTTACTGTGTGTTTTAAATGGTTTTGGTAGATGGCGGCATTGCTGGATTGAAAGTGTATATTTTGTCAGAAATCGCATATCCCGAAATCACATGTTTTTTAAAGTTCATCTTAGTGAAAAAATGACTTTTTGTTAGTTTTTAATTCCTATTCAATCCTTGCAGTTACAGCAAATACATTTCCGAAGACTGGGGTTGATGATAAAGTATACGAAATGGAGACTGAATATGGCAGATGCATTGCTGGTATCGTGAAACCGTTGGATGAAGTTGTAAGGCATATATTTTTTATTCCCATAATCTGCTATTTTATTTATATTAAAAATCCTTGTACACTACTGCAATACTAGTCTGTTTTCTATGGTCACTCACAAGTACCATATGCTGATATAGCTAAATTTAATATCAGTTGAAATTATAGAAAATCCTATTCAGAATTGTTATGTTTTAACAGGTTTATTGCGTCAATAGTCATGGAAAACAAGGAATTTACATGATCAATAGCACCAATGAAATGGAATGCCTTCTGTGTTGCCGCGGATGGTTCCACGAGTATAGATACTGGCATAAAATGGGGTGTACTTCTTGTTCGTCATCAGGAATAACCGAGGAGCCAAACATTGATTCAGGTTGCCAACCAGTACGAAAAGCTCCCCAGTAAGTTCGACTAAATGATTGTTATCGAATAAATTTTTTATTGCTGTGAACTAAAACGGGACCGAGAGATAAAATTTTCTATTTCGATATTAAACTCTGTGCCATCCAATAAACAACTACCGACTCCAGATTGAAAAAAAGGAAACTTTATTAACAAAAGCTTGTGCTGTGTTAACTCAATAGTCAATACTATGTGCTGTTTGCCTGTTTCTTTCCGAATTTTTGACTTGGATTATCATCATGAAAAATCCAAACAATGTCAATTTCAGGATTTACCAATTTTCATTTCATAGGAATGTTGCTGAAGGTGGCGGCTCACAACCTCCTGCTATATTGAATCCACCAGGAGATGAACCTGATGACATAAAGACCCCTGCAACACAAGACAACATGACTGCCCCAGTGACAACAGCACAGCCAATTATTGGTAAGTATTGTTATGATTAGCTAATTCTTGAATGTCACCAGTTTGGTTCTACTCAAGTAATAAACCGCACATACTTATAAAAAATATAACCACTTATTATTAGAAAAGTAGATTTATCCCTCTTTAAAAAAATCCCACAGAATAAGAATGACCCAGGACAGGCTATGTCATCTTATCATGACTGCATATAACTTTTAATTGTGCCTGGCTTCCATGATTTGAATAACAAATGGAACAATTTTTCATTAAATTTAAGAATAGCGATGTATATATGGACTTAATTTCTGAGTAGAGTGGCCTCTCATTTGTACAGACTTTCTGATTACTTAATCCCGACATTTTAAAATGCAAATTACCAAAATGTGTGATCACTGGTATGAATAGATACCATATATTGTTTCTGTTTTCTCGTTGATATATTTCAATGTTTATTCACTGTTCATTTATATAATTGTCGAGCAGACTCGAGCTCCATATAAGTTGTTGATATTATTTCCTATGACATTATTATATTCTTGTATTACTTCCTGAATTTGTGAATAAATCTTGCAGGCAGTTCACTTGGCCAGGGTAACTTTCATATTCACCCGCCTTGGTAAGAGGTTGAAAGGATGTACACTACTGTATGATCAATGCTGTATGTGTTGCTATTCAGTTACAAATATATTTCGGTGCTCCCGAAGTATGCGAACCAAGATGGCGGACATCGGAACGTAACATGGGTAACAGGTTAGGGTTAGGCGATAATTTTTATCCAATTTTTCTTATTTTAGTCCTATTATCAGTTCGAAGACTAGCCAAGAGCCTCCCGTAGTATTTATACCTAAAATTATGGCCTAACCCTAACCTAGTACACATATTACATTCCGATGCCCGCCATCTTGGTTCGCATACTTCGGGAGCCCTTATATTTCATTATGGCAATATGAAAAAACTCGGTCAGCCACCGACATCTATACATTACACACTTGTTATTGTACTCATCGTATTCGTTTCAGAAAATCTGACACCACCGAATGCTATCGAAAATCTGATCTGTGAAAATTTGTATTCTAAATTTCCTGTTCGAAAATCATCTGTCCTTGTGACATGGAACGGTTCTGAAAATGCTGAGCATTATGAGGTATATAACATATAATAGTGGTACGAGTGTCTTGACGACCTAGATTTTTTCTGCATTGCTTATTCACACATTACGCTCCGAGCAAAGCCACACAGAAGTAATCACCGATATCTTCTAACGTTTTCCAGCTGGGTAGGAATTCTATTGGGTTGGAATTTTCATTTGTGTTCGTTGTAGTATTACTAATATTCTATATTTTTGTTCAAAAACGGGCGACTTTCGCATAACATTAGCTAAGGATACAATAATAAAGTTTAAGAAATGAGTCTATATGCGTACTGAGGAAGGAATAAAGTTACTAAAACGAAGAAGGAAGGAATTCAACGAAAAAGTTTGGGAAATACTGCTCTAAGGCTTTAACTGCTAGGCCATTGCACACATAAATATTATTATATTATAATATCTGTATGAAATTCATTTAATTTTCAAACTTTCAGGTGATATTAACATCTAAGGGCAGCTCGCAATTTTATGAAGTTGGAACTCCTGCTTTGGACGTTAAAGATTTAGAACCAGATACCAAGTATAAAATTGTAGTGATAGCTGCAAACAAGGCGGGTAAGAATCTATATATATATATATTTTCTGTATACACTGATGCATTTATTTTTAATATGAAATTGTAAGTAGAACTCTGTCATTAAATTCATTAATAAGGAAATTTTTATTAAAGGGAAGAGCACATCAACTTCGATTGATCACCATACTTGGAAGTTAGCTCCACGGTACCCTCTCACAAAGGTTCATTTCACAGTTACTGGATCGATTATACATGGATCTTGGAACATTCCTGAAGGCAGAGCTGAAGAGGAACCATTGTTAGGTTATAAGGTATTTTCTGCTTTTTTATGTGAAGTTTATTTTTTCATTTCAAATCTACTAATTCTCTTATCTTGAATAATAATGTTACACAGGTGCTACTGAAAGATTTGGATTCAAAAAAGAAGCTATCATTCCTATTTGAGGAGAGTGAATGCACTATCCAAGTTGAGGAAAACAGAACATTCTATGCGACTGTTCTTCCTTATAACAGGGCTGGTAACGGACTACCATACGCATCCTCGTATGTTCAAACTTATGCCAACTCAGGTATGTTATTCTAATGCAAATTTGTGTTTATAATATATTTGTATCTTAAGAATGCTGTCTTTTAGAAAGTTACATTTTACTCTATTCAGTTCTTAGCATATTAGGTTCGGTCGGGAGTTACTGCTCTTATTTAATCAAGACTAAGAGATACCACAAATAACATGAGTTGAGATTACTGATATTTTGTATTTTCAGGATCTGCCACTAGCAAACTTTTCTCACTGGGAGCACCTATATATTGTTATATCCTCGCCATGATTGTGAAGTTTTTACTATGCAACTAGATGAATTTTTTTGATCAAATATTTTATATTTTTTGACTTTTTGATAAGCCTCGAATAGTGCCAGATGATCAAAAGTATGTGGTAGTGAAATATAAATCCGTTTCACCCTCCGTTTCCAAATCGATTTGATTTTTTACTTAGTGGTAAAAAGAGCATATAAGAATATTTTAAGTATTTTTCAATTTTGTCAAATTCCTGTATGTTATAACGTCCTTCAATGGCCTTTTGCTGTACAATTATGTTTTGCACTTTTCTTCAGTTTAAATTTGGAATTTAATTCCTTTATGATCTTCAATGTGATTTGTAATTGTTTCAAATTTAATTTATTTGTGAGTGGGATGTATTGATTAAGCTTCCCTGAACCATTGTGCCTTATGATACTGGAAGCCACTTGAAAGCATTATTTGTGTTGTGGCTATTTTGTTGGTGTACCTGTGTCTAATGTTGTATTTGTGACAATCACACTTACAAATCTGTGAATTCTTCATTTTTCTCTTCGCCATTTTTTTTTCACCACACTTATACTTTTGGGAGTTATTTGAGATCTGCTGGTTTTAGTACTGCGTGTTTTCAACTTGCACAGAAACATTTTGATTTTTAGATACAATCGTTGCTTATGTTACCTGTACTTGTACTTGTTTATTTATCATGTATGCTTTTAGGGGCTATTTTTTCCAATGTGCAACATAGGTCGTTCTGTGATGATTTTTGCAATATATGTATATTTCCAGAAAATCAATAAGATTTTTTAATGCCATAGCCCGTTTTTAATGTTCCTGTGTCATTGTGTATAATTTAGTTGGAATGCAACAATTTTACATGCCATATCATAACTGATTCATTGTGTTTGCTCTTTATACTTTTTCTTAGGCAATTTGTTTATTATAATTTCACATGGCATCGATAGCAAAAAAACTGAATGCGAGATTTGAAAACATTGCCAGGGTAATTGCTTGTTTTCTTATGATTTATATTTTCTGTTTATTTTATTGTATTTTCAGAATAGGATGTTAGTTTCCCTTGCCACACTAACAGTATTTATCTTTTACCGATGGTGTTGATATTGCTGTTCATGATATTGAATAACATTGCACAATTTGAATGCTGTGTATGATTGTTTCTAAGTTTCTGTTCCTGCCTGATGCGCTTACTACTAACACATTGCTTCCAGTAACTTTACATATCTTGTATCTTATGTATTTTAACATGTTTTATTGATAAAACCTTCTCATTCATTTGTAATAATAAATCCGAAGGTATAATCTTACAAATGCCTCATTACTAGTAACAGCTTACCATTTAACACTTAGTATAGGATGATGTAATATAGGATGATGAGTAAGTTTGAGTTTAGAAGAAGACTACAAATGGCATGCCGATTTTGTGCACGGGAAGTAATGTTTCAAGAATAAATTGTAAGAAAATTTTAAGAGCTTTTTCGATTTCCTGAGACCACAAAATTACCCGACAATACAAATAAAACAAACTAAAAAGTATACTGGAAGAAGAAAAAGTGGCGAGCCACACCACCGCAGTCTCGATATGCGTCAAAATTGATTGGCTGTCTCCCCGTACTCATCAAACAGTTTTTTGAATATATTGAAAAAAATGTTATCACTATGATTTTCATAATCGTAGAAAAATCTTGCGCGAAGTGAAGGAAAAAAAATGTTTATGCGGTCAAGGGTCGCGTAAACATACATTACTGTCGGGTCTCGTTTTTTTTGTTCGTTTTATTCAAATATTATAAGATATATTGGTTGCAATAAAATGTATGAGTTACAATAAAAAAAAAAAATTAATAAAAAATGTTTAAACGTAATTCAGAATTTCTGATCTGTCGCAAATAATTCGGCATTCTATCGCTAACGCAACTCGGGTGAAAGGTTGTGTAACCGCTATAATTACGTCTGTATGCGCCTAATTATTATCTTAATATTGCTTGTATCTGTCGATTGTGGAGTTCGTTGAAGATTATGGTGAGAACATGCAGACGGATGATGCGAGATATTTGAAACGGTAAGTCAGAATAAGTTAGCTTTTAAAGGTAGGATGGTATTTACATATGTATCTCAGTATCTCGCCCGGTTACCAGATCATGGGCGCTACCGGTCAGCCGGTACGGTATGGGATTGTAGATATGTAGTCAGGAATTCATGATTTTGCATGAATGGATGTAAGCTGTTGTCTGAAGGTGGAACATTTACTGGTAAAATTACTAATTTAACGTAGAGTTTATTCTGCCCTGCTGGCTCTGAGCAAGAACTGGAAATGAAAGTTTATTTTTATATTTCTGTATTTAAAACAGAAAAGTGCATTCTGCAGCTCAGACATTTGCAAATCCAAAAAAATGGTTATTGAATGAATATTTAAATCATGAGCGCACATCTTAAATGAAGACATGTGCCAAAGTTTTTAAAATCATGTTTAACCTACTCAACCATTTGCTATTATTCGTTCAGAATTCCATATACTTAAATACAGAAATACACAAATTATTTTCACCAAATCAAGAAATCATTGGCATGCCATGTTCGAGTTTATGACATTAGGCACATTTTTCCTGTGTTGTGAACTTCTGATTTAAATCATATACAGTGCATAAAGCCTGCTGTTTGGTGTAGAATATTTGTATCTGGTCAATTTTCAAACTAATAATTCAAGTACGATTCAACGCCAATGTGCCAACCTAGCAGTGGCACTGACACTCACCCTGTTTCTGTATTTGGGATGGGATTCAGTGATTATTTCGATCGTTCATTCCGATGATTCTTTTAGCAATTATTACGGAATCTCAATATTCATAAGGCTATTCAACTCTAGAAAAGATAAACGCTATTGTCATGCTCAACATTAAAATGTACTGTCCCCTGAGAAATTTACATATTTTTACACTCTTAAAGTGTCTTTTGTGAATTGGGTATTTATTTTACAGCAAGGTCAAAGGAGGGGCAATTGACGTTCACCCAACTGAACAAGCACTTGTTGTGAATTATGAAGTGGAAGCAACAATATTAGGAGAACTTGGTGATCCTATGCTCGGTGAAAGAAAGCAATTTCAAAAAATGTATTTAATATTCATTATTAAAGAATTTCATTTTCTATATTTTTTCATAGTTTTCCAAACACTTTGACAGCCCTAAATTCTACCTTCATATATGCAGAACTCTGGCATTACCAGGATCCATAAAAAATATGTTCAATGTTAACATACCATATTTATTAAACTAAGAATAAACAATCATATACGACAATATAATGCTCTGGAATTTGAATGCATGTTTATATGCCTGTGTTTTCTTTTTTAAAGCTGAGAATTGGTTAAATTAGTAAGTGGAAAACAAACGGTTCGAAACCCATATTCACCACCACGGTGTAATATATTGAGTAGAAAATATTAAACCGGAAAGATCCCGTTACTTGCAGTAGCTCCTTAGATATCGTATAAAGGAACGTGACAATAAAGGACCGGTAATTCAATTGTCCTTACATACTGATATAATTACCATTCTTGTTGTTAGTTTAGCATTAGATAAGTTTTTAGCATCAATTGCAGCAGTTAGGCCCTGTTTTTATACGAAAACCATATAGCAACCTTATAAGGCATGATTTATCAATAGTTTACGGAGATAGCTAATTAGCTCTGTCACAAATACAATATGTATTGTTCTGTATTTGTATGAGTATATCAGTGAAATGTGAATAGGAAAATTAACAGACGGAAATTTATTTGCCAATTTTTACTGCAAAACAGTTTACTATGTTTTCTTGTGCGTAGAAACTGCTTTTTGGTCTTTCAAATGAATCAAAAATTATCTTTTTGCAGTTACTACAATTTGTTTTAAAGTGAAGTTTGTTGATTCAGTTTTTTGGAAAGTTAGCATTACCAAGTTGGAACGTGTTTCTAAGTAGTTCAGAAGAGTTTTAAAATCATGTAAGCATTCTATCATTATAAGTAAAACAGCTCTTAGTGTGTCATTATTGTATTGTATTACAGACACAGTGTTGTCAAGTAATGTTGTAGAATAAGAAGATGATTACTGAGAAACTGTCAACAATTTTCTGCTCATTGTTAGCTATCGATTCCAATTAGAATTATCAGAAAAATAAAATAGTTATCATTTTGAAAGAAACAGAAAAGCATATTTTGATATTTTCATCCTAGCTTTTTTCAGTAATTTCAGTTCAGATTGGTATGGTTAGATCATAAATAGCATCTTGATCGAGTACCATTTGAGTGTATACCTATCTATTCCAGGGACACGTCATTTGCTTCCACGTATATTGAAGTTCATCCAGTTTTAGATGCTTTAATTGTTCACTACAGTTTTGATTGTTTGTTAGGAGAAGATGAAGAATTGGAATTGGAACATTATTTAACTAAGCAGGGAACAAAGCTGTGAGATTGTTATATTAGCTAGTTAGTAAAGTCCAGTTACTAGGTGGAGGTTCAAAGGTCAAATGTTTTAATATTTTTAAAACAAGTAGGAAGTAATAGCTGAAGATTAGGAACTAAATTATTTTTCCACTAGATTTCAAATAATTCTGCTCTTAATACAAATTACTTCTAACCATAGATGTGAAAACAGTAAAATATGATTCTAGAGTAAGAGTGATGCCTGTCATATTTTGACTGAACAATATTGCTACAATCGTTATAATAGTTAAAACAAATATTAAAAAGGATGCCTGAATTTAAACCACTACTCAATAATTCTATAAAGAAGGTCATGATATCCGTATTTTAAAAAATTTACTAGCTGTAGGAGATTTAGCTCTCACGTATGAATGATTGAAAGGGTCGACCCTTAATTAACCTAATTTTCTTGTAGAATTCGATTGCGAAGTTTGAACTCTACAACTGACATAGCAGCTTTAGCTGAAGAAGTAATTGAAAAATGTAAATTGATTCATGTATCAAAGCTTCCAGAAGTGGAACAATTGCTTTACTACCTGCAGAAAAGACCCGGCAAAGGTATTTTGAACTTATATATTTATATATGCGTGTTATTATACCTCTTGGGCAAAAAAGTTAACTTGGACAAACGCCCAACTTTATGATTGAATTGTTTTATTGGATTTTCTCAACTCAAGATAATTTAAAAAATCCTATTTTATGCAGGATTTACATCATCATGCCTTTCAAGAATATGAATTTTTTTTATTCAACTTTATTAATTTTTTTGTGTACAATGCCAATAACTTTGTTGAAACTTCATTTATTTAGAAAAAACATCAGGTGACTTGCGACCAACTGGACAAGATGTTGAAGTGGAAGATTGCATGTTTGGTATTGAAGATGGTGAACAAGCCAGCATAAACGATATCGATAATTATGTTGAGCTTCTTTATGAAGATATTCCAGAAAAAATTCGATCGTCCTCTCTGCTACTACAATTGACACGTAACCCAGACAACCTTGAAGAACTGCTTCAGAATGGTAAGGCTCACATTGTTATGATTTTTATATTATTCATTTCTTGCATCCATGAATATCTTCTCATTTCAGAGTGTTTAGAATATACCTACTCTAAGAATAATCTCTCTCTAAGGCAAACAATCACTTGATTATGGTGGCATATTCGTACTTATAATACTGGATTATTTCTGATTTTTGTTGATGGCCAAGCTTGAAGAAATTCGTATTTCTATTATATATTTATTCCAGGGTATAGAAAAAAAGGTAATGCTCCCCATTTTTTTGGCATACATGACTACTCGTCTGGTTTCAAGTCCAAATTGGGAGAAAATATCTAACCAGTTTTGCAGTTCAGATACATAAATTTGGGCAATTCACAAAGTCTCCAGTTTTGTGGACTACCCAATTTGGCTACATGATGTTCAACTTTAATATCATGATATATGTTATAATCAGACTGCATTCTATAGAAAAATGTTGTTTGTGTGGTTGCAATGTTGTGTGCAAATTTAATTACTTGTTCTTTAATTTATTTCCCCGGATATTCAGTAACAATCCGCGTCAGTTTCTTAGACATGCAATCTTTGTTCATATCTGAGTGTATTGTCTTTAATCTTTTTTGCTACGTGTTCTGCTGTTCTGCTTATAATGCTTGACGATGTTTTTTCAAGTTAACTAATTGTTCTCTTTATTTATAGAAACAGTTCTTGGTGCACTTGCTCGTGTTCTCAGAGAAGATTGGAAAAAGAGTGTCGAACTTTCAACCAATATTATATATATTTATTTTTGTTTTTCAACTTTTTCACAATTTCATGGAGTTATTATACATTTCAAGGTTCGTCATTTCATATGTTATTTAATTAAATTCCACCTTCCATATGATAAAATCTTTTACTTATTTTTTCTTTCAAATTGTCGTTTTAGATTGGAGCACTGTGCATGTCCATATTAGAATATGAATTATCTCGACATAAAATGTGGAACGAAGAATTGGACAAAAAGAAACAACAAAATATCCTTAATCAATAAATTTGAACATAAAATATATGCAATAAAAATATCATTGGAAAATGTTTATTACCGGTACTTCAGATTATTCTAAATTGGTATTTTTTTTTGTGGAATATTATATTGTGAGTCATGTTGCTTTACTCAACCGCTAATTAGAGTTTTTCTTGACTGCTAATTCTACTAGCGAATCTTCCAAAATCAAATCCTGCTGTAAAAGAGTTTGAAAAAACAGTGAAGAAATGTGAAGCTATTCTTAAAAAACAAGATCAACTTTTAAGAGGTATATGAGTTAAAATTCCTTGTTTTATCATTATGCCTGACATGATGTTTGGATGATTTGACTGAACAATAAATTAATAAATATATTGGCTGATATCTATAATGATTGGTTTCTTGAGTATCTGAACTCTTAGACTCAACTTTACACAAGCAGGAAACGTAGACTTAGGGAGATACTGAAATTAAATTTGATGATTTTTGTTGTGCCGTAATTTCTTGGTTGTGTAATATTCTGATATGAATATGTTGTTGTTGTTTAGGCCTATTAAATTTGTGCTACAATACTGGGTATGGATTGACCACGTTGCTAACCAAGACTAATCTTTTTGTGGGACGAGGGCTAATGGTCAAAGCTTTAATTGTGTTAGCATTGCAGATTATAGAATTCAGAATTCACGGGAGGGGGGGCAAGGTTTTTGGACCAGGGACCAAAAATTTTGCCCATCCTAAATTGGCGGGCCATGTAAGTGTGACGTAAAAAGTTAATTTTTATGAACAAAGTTTACAGTGGTACAAAAGCAAAAGTGAAAAACAATAAGCCAAAACTAAATTAAATCGCAATTTCAACAAATTCCTTGAGCTATTTTTTAGCTAAAACATCAAAATTTGGTTTCAGTTAGGTTGTAGCAGCATCAGGCGGACCAGATTAAAATACCCAACGGGCGGGATTTGGCCCGTGGGCCGTAGTTTGACCATGTCAGTTATAGATCTCGAGTTGAAATCTCATAGGTCCACATTGTATACAGTGATATCAAATATCCTACAATCAAATCATTATTTGAAAGATATTAGAAACGTATCCAGCCCTAAGCCTATTTGTTTAATTTCTATTTCTCAGTTGGATTTTATCTCCTGTTGAATCTGTCAGAAGATGCTTCTGTTGAAGTCAAAATGAAGAAACGTGGAATTGTTGGGATACTTGTGAGAGCATTAGAAACAAGGGATAACCCAGAATTGCTTGTTCTTGTTGTTTCCTTCTTAAAAAAATTGTCGATATTTTTGGAAAACAAAAATGAGATGGTGAGACTCAAATAGTCAAATTGTTTTTTATACAAATACCTAAAAAAATAGCCAGAATTAATTTTGCATCACCACAAAAGTGGTATTTGTTAGGTGTTACAAAATCATTCATATAATGGGATTGAAATTATATGTCTAATACGAGATAAAATTATTTTTTTTCTAAAATTTTGAGATATTTTATTCTGACTCTTTCATTTCTAAGAATTTTCCGCGTTTGACTGCAGTTACTTACGGTTTCTTCAAAGGTCTTTAGTTCCTTTAGTACAACTAATTTGAACTGTATATAAATATCTTTAGTGAGTCCTTATTTTGAAACAGTGAAAAATTGTACATTCAAAATATACCGATTTTGAATAAACGTTTTCACATACCGATAATCAAGTTAGTTAAATATTTGACAATAACCCCAAACTTTTTTTGAATTACAAAATAAAACTGTGTTTTTCAGAGAGATAAAAATGTGGTAAAATCACTGGTCAGACTTATTCCGACGAGCAATGAAGATTTATTGAACGTTGCATTACGTCTTCTGCTCAATCTTTCGTTTGATAAAGATATCAGAAAACAAATGATGGAGTCTGGTCTCATACCTAAACTAGATGGAATCTTGGGTAAGGACTCTATTTTGTGGTTATGATTGTCAAATAGAGACAAATAATCAAACTTTTTCAAAATTAGGTATATATTAGATACAGAATACTATTAAAAAATTATCATTTTTAGCTCTGGAATGGATTTTAAAATCTAAAAAATTTAGTATAAATATACCAGTATGTATCACATAATTTCTGCGAAAAATCTATTCAGAAGGCCTGTTGTGTAATTTGGCATTTACTAATATTTATTTATTTGTTATATGTTATTTTTATGTAATGTATTTCATGTTAAAAACAAGAATTTTGATAATTTTTCTCTGTGTGTTTGTATTGTAACGGCGTTCGGAATAAATTATTCAACTTATCTTCAGCTAAATCTAGCATGACAAAACAAAATATATTTATAAATATAGGGTGTCCATAAAGTCTGGAAATTTTTTAAAATTACAAAGAGAATTTTTTAATATTATATAAATATATATTATTTTGGCCTTCACAGATGTATTAAATGAAATAAAAATACTTGATGATAAAAAACAAATAATATTGATTAAAAAACAAGAAAGCTGGTTGGGATATATCGAAGACTGGCATCTTAACAAAATTGAAATTGGGAATGGGCTGACTCTATGGACACCTGTGTATAGAATGTTAAATTCGAAAATGAAAACATAGGGGATATATTCTACAACTATTAGAGCTTAGTGTTGAATAGATAAGTGAAACAGATGTTACTGTCATTGATATAAAAATCAATAGACTGGTTTTATTACAAGGTTGATATATCCCAATTTGTATCAATGCTTCATTAATTATGCATGACTTGTGCTTGAATATACATCAGTCACATATGGTGAATACAGTTTCCAAATCATTATAGGCCTTGAATATGCATAATCATGTTATCTCTCTTAAATTTGTTAAATTATATGGTTAAATTTCTAGTGCTGCTGTATATAAGTGTAAATGTCTTAAATATACACAGGGGAGCAGCCAGGATTTCCAAAATGGGAGGGTTCAAAATTGAAAATTTACATTTTCCTGAAAAAGCCACTGCAATTACGTTGGATAAGCAAAATTTTTCAGTGTATAATGACTTCTCTGTCGCCTAAAATATTCAATTCATAATAACTACGAGAATCTAAAATGTCTTTCTTATATTAATTTACTCGTGTTTAAAGTAACTCAACTCGTGGTTGCATCTTTTTTACGGCGAAATAAAAACATTACTACTCCAAAATATACATATTTACAGAAGTTGGTTTTCAATATGTGCCAGTGCAGCATTTCGTACTCAATTTATTACGCCCTCCGAGATATGGGTGCTATGCACTAACAGAATAAGAAAGAGCGTATAGCACCCTGTGATTTGCCGTTTAAGATTTATTTAACACCCCTATAGTAATTTATAACCAAGGCTGTTTCACACAACCACATATATACAGGGATCGATCATGCTTGGGACTGTCAAAATATGTAATTCACTCGCAACATGGCTAAACAATATCCATATCAACACTTATTACTTCCTCCATAAAGTAATTAAATATATTACTTTTTCTTAGGTAACCCACTTCATCGTGTTGCTATTATATGTATACTTTATAACCTGACTATGGATGAACAAGCAAGATCGTTGTTTTCTGATACAAAGTGTATTCCAACAGTAAGGAATTAATTAACATAAACTTTTTTAATTGATTGCTTCTCTTCCTTCTTCAGTGACATGGAACATGAACTTGAGTCATATATAGCAGTGTTCATTGTACTTTTAACAGCACTTGGTACATCCCAATTTTTTGCGACTCTCAGGAGCTATAAATTTGACAATACCTTCAATGAGTGCATATTTTTGCACAAAAGAGGGAATCTTGGCTTGATTCCAGTGATGGTCAGTCTCAGTACTGGTTCCAAATCTTTCAAATTTGATCAATCGACAACATAACTTAGTGCCAAAAAGATTTTATCACGACGACACTCATGGAGCCCTTTTGCGACCCACCGTGAGGTTTGGAACCTCCAGTTTGGAAAGCCCTGATATCCATTGTGACTTTTTAGTTCTCTTTGAGTGGTATTTGGATTTTTAGTTTATGGACATTATCACATTATCGTTGCACATCATTATCACTTCCCATTGTAACCATGTGGTGGCTAGGTCACCTTCAGAATTCCCCAAACTACCCCCTGCTTTTCAGGACGAAAGCAATTTTGAATCCATTTAAAGCGGTTCGTCTACATTCTGATGGCTCTCTCCGATAATCTCTAATAATTATCCATCTCTAGTATAATATTTTAGTTATGTAATTCAGTACTGATCAACAATAACAGTAGTTCCACTATTTCGTAACTAAAATTTTCGATCTTTTTAACTAGATATTGGAACTTTACGACAGCCACCTTTGGCTTTTCGCAGCTTTCTCAGTAAATTGTGTGATTATTTCTTTTTGAATATTGTGTATCTTATTGGGTGTAAAAAAAAACTTCATTGCTTTCTCATGTTTTACAGCTGATCAAATTTATATTGGAATGCAAAGATGAGAGAGCAGATATTGAATTGGTGTCACTTGGTATCAATATTGCAACAGACAAGAAAAATACTCAGGTAAGATTCTATGCTTTGGTGTTAAACTTTAAAATTTATTTGATATTGTCATGTAATTCATCATTTTGAGTGTACTAGATTATGTAAATGGCTTGAGTTTAATTTATTTAGATTTTAAATATCTTGAACAAATCCTCTGTGCAGCATAATTGTGATAATTATCCAGTTTGAAATAATTTACTGTACAAAAAATTTTGTAAAGAAAATAGTTTAACTTTAGTTGCCTTTTTTCTTGATTTTGTGTGATTTTCTAATTTTCACCAATTTTAAATTCCATCTTCATGTTTTAAGACAACTTCGATTAAACAAAAGGTTTTACGAATTTCTAATAAACTTCTTGCTTTTATATCTCAGGTTATTAGTGAATGCATCAATGGTAGAGGAATAAAAGTTCTTTTAAAAAGAGCTTTTAAATTCAAAGACACTCTGATGATGAAAATGATCAGAAACATGTCAGAACATGCTGGACCTACAAAACAAAAATTTATTGTATGTAACATAATAGTTGTTGAAATTGCCTTTATATCTATCATTGTTAGCGTGTTTGAATATTTCAATGACGCTTCAACTATTTGAGTAATAGATAAACCAGCATCTTTACCCTACAACTCAATAAATTTCAAAAGTTGGATGGTCTGTTGGAAATGTACATCACATTTTGTTTGATTGGGTTTAAGAATATCTTTTCTTAATCACATCTATGAATTAGTACCATTTAATATGGTGGCTATATCCATACCCAAGTTATACTGGTGATCAAACAAAAGGCCTTGTTTTGCCATATGAGTTGGCCATTTTATCTTTAACTTTTTTCTTTGTTAAAATTTCGTAATAATTGTATAGTCAGAACTGGTGAGTCATCTCTCTGTCATCGTTCAAGAATTCACAATATTGAATTCAGCTCTGGCTCTGACTCTGGGGAGTTTGAAAAAATGACTCTTATTTTTATATTAATAAGCCCTACAAAGACTGGAGTTTGAACACTGGCGAAAGCCTAGATATTTCACAAGATCACGACCGTAAATTTTATTTTCCTAATCCAAATTTTTATGTAACAAGTGACAATGACTTTTTTTTAGGAATTCATCAGTGCTTTAGCAAAGGCAATCACTACTTCAAAAGATGAAGCTTTCGTGATTGAATGCACTGGAACATTATCGAATCTAACATTAGCAAACATTGATTATAAACTTGTTTTGGAAGAATATAAACTCGTTCCTTATATAAAGCGCATCATATCTGGAGGTAGTTATTATAATACTATCATTAGATAACCGGTCCACTTGTCTGGGCACAAGCATTCTCAATTATTGGGTTTTGGCCTCATCTACCATGATCATCATCAAGAATTGTCAAGCACAATGCCATCATAGTGTGGTCCAAGTAATTGCGGTTTGGTCATGAATATTTGCTCTCTATTCTCTTATGTATCTGGGGCATTTAACTAACCAGCTACTTCTATATTTGAATCAGAGCAAAGGCCCTGTTTTGACATGTGATTGAGTCAGCTGGGAAATAACAACCATATTTGAATTGCCTAACTCCGATTTTAATGTATTTGAAGTAACAAAATCAGTTAATAAATATGTTAGCTACCTATCTCCTAGCACAGTGGTTACTGTTAGTCGCGACCCTAGATGGGGTCACATAAAGATTTTTCGGGGTTCGCTAATTTATTTATTGTCCGACCATTTATTGTCCAAACGGCGCTAATTGCTCTGTAAAACTTTCACGCAGTACCTTCCCAGCTGGTCGGTATTAGTAAATGTAATTGAGTGACAGTGGTACGAGCGTGAATAATATTTCCCTTTTTATAGCTTTTTATTTTGATAATGTTAAATTCGGATGAGTAGTTGACCCGCTGGTACGGCAAAGTTGCTTTATTTGGCTTTTGGCTTTTAATCAGGTGTTTGACAAGTCTGGTATTGATTACCAGGCGGTGTCTTGGTTTTCCGATCAGTTGCGAAAGCCCTTTGTTAAATACGCGCACAAGGCTAAAATATATGAGTACGCTACATGTTTTATCCACATCGCCTCCACATAAAAGTGAACATTTTCGAATTGCAATATTAGTTTAAATCTACAATCTTTTAATATAAAATGCCTACCTCTTGACAGACGACAATAAAAGTCCATTTAATGCTCCTATATATTGACATGGTTTTCAATTTATTTTCTAGTTGATGTTGCTGATGACCTTATATTAGAAACTGTGATGTTGATCGGAACTGTTGCAATAGATGACAACTGTGCTGCATTATTGGCTAAATCTGGAATTGTTCAAGTTTTGATCAGTTTATTGAATGGTAATAAGTTGTATTTTACTGGATTTTCATTCATGATTAATTTTGTAAGCTTATTTGGATATGGCCTTTCAATCAACTTTAGCAGTACTATTATATGTAAAAACCTTAATTAAAACAAAATTCATGGTATTTTAATGATGATTTTTCAAGATAAAATTAGTTCAGATAATCAAGTTCACTCACAAATCTTCAAACTGAAGCTCGTCGAAACAGAGAATTAAGAGTTTATACTGCAGATTGTACCTGTGTTTCCTCATTTAATTGTAAATATAGACCTTTCACTGTGAATATTCATGAGGTTTGCTACACAAGATTCTCTGGTAGTTAATTATTTAAAAGTGATTATACATTTTGTTTAGAAAAACAAGAGGACGATGAAATAGTATTACAGATTGTTTATGTGTTTTATCAAATGATCTGGCATGAGGTTACAAGAAATGTTATTGTAGAGGAAACTCAGGTGAGATCATAGTCTTCAATAGTTTATTTCACAATGCAAACTAATAAGGAATACAAGAAATAAGAAAAAAAATTGTCAAAAATTGAATTCTAGTGAAATATAATACCGTAGTTTCATATCAGCTTTATTGTTAATGCAAATGAAAGATATCTCGATATTTTCATGCCATTCACAACTGTCCTATTTTGTCAGACATGAATGTTATTAAGTTAAGTTTTACTAATATAACATTACATTTTTTAATTATTTTCTTTTCACCAGGCACCGTCTTATCTGCTTGACCTGCTTCATGACAGAAACAATGAGATCAGGAAAATCTGTGATGCCACACTTGATATTATCATGGTAATTAATTAATTTTTATTCTTGATTTTATTCCTTAATTGGACCCAGCATAATTACTAAGCATGCCTGGAAAAAATCCATCAATCAGTGTGAATGTAGTGAAACTATATGTTTATTATTTTCCTGGTGGTTTTATTTTTCAAAATTGGCAAAATTTCAGATTCAGCAAATTGCCCCATTTGAACGCAGAGAAAATTTAGAAAGGAGACACTCATATTTGCAACTACTGAAACCCCCAAGACAATATCTGCAAACAGTTAATAGTTCCATTTTGTCTACAGTAAATTTAAGTTCATTAATGTGGCGAATATCTTAAATGTGTTTTATTACAGTATTGTGCTGTGTTTGAAAACAACCCACTTTTAAAATCAATATCTGGTTTTGTGTTCAATACTTGAATTATTCTTAAGAAAGCTTGATCAATAAATATTATTTGCTACCAATTTAGCAGATGTGCTAGTCATAGTAATCAATTAACTATGATATGCTAGGCTTTAAATTAGGGATTTTCTCTAGAGTGTATTTTTTTATTGGCGAAATCTGCAAAATTGGGTATTTACTATGACTTTGTTACAACATAGATTCATAAAAATTAATCGTAAACTGTATTCTAGATTCTAGAATGCTCTCACTTTTTTAGTAATGGTCCTTCTCTTACTTTACTCATATGATTCTCCTTTAATTCCTAGTGATTGCAGCCGAGTGTAACCTTTGGGAAAATATTTAAAAAAAGATAGCTATCATAAATCTAGCAGTCAGTGATGCGCCTGCCAATCTAATTTAAATACTTGATTTACCTTTGTTCCATTTTGTAACACATTTATTCTAATTTCCCTAGGAATTTGACAAAGGATGGGAAGAGAAAATCAGAGTTTCCAAATTTCATTGGCATAATTCACAATGGATAGATATGATCAAAAATCAACAATTTCAAGATGAAGATGATGAATATATGTATGCTGATGATCCATATACTCCATACATTCATGAAGAAGATATCTTGAACCATCCTGAACTGTACTACGAACCAGGTGAAGATTGTTTATATTAAGCGTATATAGGTATATTTTTTGTTTAATTTATGCTAAGCTATACAATTGTTTACAATTTATTCAATTATCTGTTGTTGTACATGAACTATTTCTCATAGCTACGTCCCCATGCATAAAATTTCCTCACCAGAAATATTAAATTTCCTACTTGGTTTTGAAAATGCCTGTTTAAAACAAGACTCAAAATTTATGAAACTGAAAAAGATAAAGCATTTTCGTTGTAAAATCAGGATTTTACCCAGTACACTATTCTAAATATTGTACTTTTGGTATACAACAGATACATTTTGGATATTTTTAGACCAAAATTATTTCATCGATAGGATTGTAAAATATCACAGTGTTTAAATAAGGACATTCCTGTGACTGACATGCTTGCCAAATATGGCTCTTTAACTCGTAATCTCAATTGCAATTGCAGCATTCAGTCTTGTTCCAATTTTTTCTGTGGCTAGTTGCACTAAATTAGTTAATTAAACAAATTGGATTATCATTGCAATGTAAGCCTCAGTCAGAACCTTTTGAATTGCTCTATGTGTTCTTGATCAAATCAAATACACTATTTGGCGGTATTTTCATAGCGATACATTATACATTTACACATTTTTTTGATGTAACTAACAACTTTGAGAAATAGCAGCCAGATTTTCCGTCATTCATTTAGAGCAGTTTTATGTATAAATCTCTCTCTTTCTGTATATATATAATATATAACTTATGTTGCAAATGGTAATTTCCAAAAGACTTGAAATGATATTAGATATTATAAATCTGTGTTATCAAAATCATTCGCCACATGGAGTCATAAAATCTTAGCCTAATAAGATGGTTCGCTGCCCTAGAAAAATTAATTCACAAAAAAGTTCGTGACTTGTGTATCATTTAGGCATTAAAAACAGCTTTTTTAAAACTGCTGTTTGTTGAGAAAGTCTATTTGGCATTCTTATTTTATCTCACAGACATGATGTTAGGGAATGGGGAATTAAATCCTGAATTGATGGAAGATGCAATGATGGCAGCTTCATTCAGAAATATGATGCCAACTGGCTCTTCTGCCATGTAAGCTATTTGTAATCTTATTTGTAGATGCAATTATTTGAGCTTTTGGTTCATTTCCAACAGAAACTTTAAATTGATCATATGAGGTATTTGTCACTTTCAATACAAGCATTGTTTTGTCAGACTTTTATTATATTTTTTAAATCTTGATTGAGTGGGATCTCATTCAAAAATGAACTTAGCAGGACTTGATTCCGAGATCTCCAGTCTCAATGGTAGAATAAGCAAAAACTAGGCCACTACGCAAGGTTGCTCGATGCATAACCTATACAAGTATACATTTTTATCCTTGTCTACGATCAATATAAATATTTATTAGCAAAATGGGAAGCGAAGCAAATATTTTTGTCAAATAATACATCACACGAAATGGGCCCAAAATTATTAGTATAAAATGGGCCAAAAATGTTTAATGTTACTTTCAAATGAATATGCCTGACACTAGCAAATGGATGCTAGTCAATCAATTTATTTTAGACTAGCAATATTGTTATGGAGTGTTGTACTCGATACAAAAAACCATCGTAAACGCCATCAAAATTACAGTTAATTTGAGCATTATTCCTAATTCTATATTTCAGGTACGATCCAACATACAACCCGTATGAATCAGAAATTGAAGCAAGACATCATATGCATTCCATGCAACAAAGACCTACAACTCCTGATATACACTCAGGATATGGACAATACTGAAGCATGTGATAGAGCTATCGTTTGAGAATATTGCTCTGAAATATTTCAACTGTTCCTATATGGTGCGATTAGATATACCAATTGCTTATTACCAAAATTGAATATTCTCAATTCGATTTTTTTGATTCAGTTGCGTTGTTAACTGCAGATTTTGTTGTAGATTTTTTCTGTTGGAAGATAGGCTTGAAATTGTAATCAGAAAATTGCCTGAAATTTAAAAAAATAATGTTTTAAGCCATTAAGAAATAATTATTTATGGTTTATGTTCGATAATATGTATTTGCTAATTGGTTCACTTAATTTTGGCGTAGTTTTCATAGAGCGATTGTTACCATTACCATAATTCTGAGTGAAAAATGCACGGAAACACTATTTTGTTTGGCCCTGACTATACCGTAGTCGTTATATGTTCACAAAATATTACCATTTACCTAGTCAAATTGTATCTTTTTTTTCTGATTTAATTTATTATATGACTGAAATTTCAACTTGTGTACTGTGTACAATTTGTTCACCTTACCACAAGTATTATTAACCGTGGACCTCTGCCTTCATGAAATAGTATTAAATATTTTATATGTGGTTAAAGCAAGTGATTTATCATGGGCAATGATTTTATTACCACAATTAAAAATTCTAGACTGGAGGCTGACAAATTTTTTTCTTTGAACTTCTGCATGCTACTGCTGTTCATGTGTGGAGTGTCTTTTGCGGGATAAATATTTTATTGTAGTAAAATGCTAGTGATTTTTACACGTTTTTATGATAAATATTTTATTTGTAATTGTTCTTGTTCAATTTTCTGTACCTATGTCGCTTCATCTTCATTCCATTGGAGCACTAGATAGTTGTTTTAATATTTTATAATATGTTCTCGTTACATTAAACGTTTATTTAAGCCTAAGTGTTGTCATATGTTAACTTATTTGCCAGGAGCATCGCAGTCCAATATGCCCAGTGGGATTTGTTACAAATAGGTTAGAGGTACCGTGGCATGGTTACCCACTAAGAGTGCTGGGTGCGTATAATATGCGAAAACCATAGTGAGGCGCATCGTGCTAAGCGTTAGGAATGCGCTTGGCACCGCGCCTCAGATTGCCCGGCATAGGTTCGTTTGAGACAATTATGTTTCGAGCGGTTGCTGAACTCCTCGCCGACGAAGGGTTGTTCACGTAACCGCTGGTCAATTACGGCTTCCTTCACCATCAAGTCTGTGCATCTGGAAACAACTAACAGGCTAAATAATCCCATACTCAACATGGGCTGTTGACCGGACAAGAGGCCGTGGTTCGCCATATGATTAGGCCGTCTTATCGGCCTTCTTTTTCCGGAATAAATATTAAATCCTATCCACCTTTCCACCCACGCTCAGGTGAACTGACGGAGCGACATGAAAGTTCTTGGGATTTTCGCGCCTCTCGTGATGTTCGGCGGGGTTGCACCTGCACTGTTATCGGCCATAGCTTGTTACTAACGCCGGGCAAGGTAGGCCGACTGTCGATGTTGGACGTCAAAAGACGTTTAATTCTGCCGCTTATTTTTTGAATCATCCCGCGCCATAGTTTGCTTTATATGGTTATTTGGGGATACGTAATTTGCGCTTTTCTGTGGCGAGCTGTATGGTCACATCTTATTTGCCTGAAAATTGTTCAGTAATTGGATTTGGTTGTTCAATTTGAATTGGAACCCCGTATTCTTCAGCACCGCTTAAAAAAATCTTTAGGTCTGAATTGAAAAGATGAGTTTGTATCAACTAACAGTATCCTTCCTGTTACAGGGCTCTTTTGTTCAAACTGACGTTCTCAGGTGTGCAAATGTAACATTTATATTACAAGTACATAACAAATGTCATGTCATAATCCATCATTTCATCCAACTTTTCAAAGCGAAGTATGAAAGATTTACCTTCAAATTTTACGTATTTCGGAATCGACCAGACACAAAAATACTCAATAACATTTACAATTGTCCAACTTCCGTGCTCGATCAACTGGTAAAATAATAGTCGGTCGCATACATAAAAGACGAATATATATTTACAAATTTTGTCTTATGTGAAGGAATGTTTGAAGTAGAAACGTCTTCTAAAGAAAAATATTTTCGAAATGTTTTTGGAACGTGTTTTTTTACATTTAGAGATACTTTTTCAAATACGGGATTGTCATTCTCAAACATATATATTCGTAATTTTCGTTTTGTTACCGAGCCAGAAAATAAATTAGAATTGGCCAGTTATTTCTGAATCATTTGCAAATTCCACTCAATACTGGGTCCTGAATGGTTTACATTCAAAATTGTATCACAATTTTCAAGATGTTCGCTCCCAAACGCGAAGGTGCAAACGCTTTTTGAGTATACAAGGTTATAGGATAATACATTTATAACTTGTATCAAGTTCAATGTGATATGCATGCAAGTCGTGGGGGGAAAATTATCAAATTTTCACTCGTGGGTTGTCTCTATTTGATTCAACTAGCAATAAATATTTTGTATTTGACCGATTTCGAGACGCTGCGATTGACATTTCTCGTGAGCATCTTGAAGTTTTTATTGGAGTTGAACTTGACGATATTCCTGTTTTAAAACAATCAGAACTTGAGCTTTTAAAAAAAAATTTTAATGTGATGACAACTCATTCAAACCTATGTTGAACAAAAAGCACATTACAGAAAAATTATATTTTGTTACTTTTTATATTTTGATTGCAAATAGTGAACTGTTTCATCTTTCCGATTTCAATTCAACCAATGTCAGTTTGGTTTGATAGGTGTAGCATTGTCGTGACAAAATCACCTTACATTCATCTGTATAATTAGCTTTTAATATTATTAGAGTGTCATGTTCCAACATGCTGTTATGATTAGTGTTGAAGCGATCATATATGATTCGTTTCTATAGACTCACCCCATATATGATAATCGCTTGACTAACTTTATGTTAAATGGATAAAAGTTTATGATGAATTTACTTAAGAGATACTTAATTCAGTAATGTCCGTTATAGTGCATATTTGCACTCACCCGCAACACGTGTAATACAAAGACCGACTTGAGTTTTGAATAGCCAGTGTATGTAATGGCGGTTAGATGTGGCGTCCCTACCCCAAAACTTATAATGGGACAATGTGGCTTTTAGTATGAAACAAGGTGTTTGTAAACACCATGATATTTGCTTGAGCGTATTCAACGGATATAACTTTTTGTGTTTTTGTTCATAATCGTGACACAAAGGCGTCAAATAGATAATTTTGTTTCCGGTGGCAACGCTGTGTTCCCGTTGCTGCGAAACTGATTATTTAAAACAAATCAAAGTCAAAAACAAGGCATTTTTCTGCGTCATAACAGGGGATTATGAAGTGCATAACTTTACTTGCTGGAAGCAGATTTTTGCGAGTGTATATATTTCATACGAGTCCACCAAAATCACCCCAAGATTTAAAATCCCATTTCTCGTACATAAAAACACGTAGATAAAAAGGACGTTACAAAACAGCACTCATCTTTTGAAAATATTAGTTTATTCGATCATTACTTAGTATATTTCGAATATTGAGCTTGTTGCATAATATATATGAGAACTTATAACTTGCTTTTGAGAATCCTTGTCAGAAATGAAGTATAACACACACACTAAGACAGTGGCCTACCATTTTTTATTTCGTGTCGCGCTTTACTAATTGACTTATGAATAGTCTGATCAAAAAATGATATGCAAAGAGATAATTTTTTTCGTCATTTCGTTACGTTGACCCCCAATTCTTACATTTTACAATTGTATCAGCAAATCTAAGATAACTACATTCGTTTTTGGCAGTTTACCACAGAAATGCGACAAAAAGGAGGTGTGATATTTGCTTCAATCATGATGGATGACAATCGTGTCTGTCGGACAATAGTACTTAAAAATCGCGCTCATTATGACGAATACAAAACCAGTTCCTCGCCCTTGTGGCATACGTTGATTCTAGCTTAAAATCAGTAAAAATAATTTATTAAGTACATTGTTATTTGCTGTATTACAGTGATTCATATTTGTTTAAAAAGAATCGAATCGTTAGTTTGGCGATCAGATTATATATTTTATGGTAGATTGAAAGGATGAACAAAAACGATAGAACGTTCGAATAATGATGAGATATTATCTCCCCTGTTCAAATATTGTTCTACAACGTTCTTCAAAGCATCAGAAGATTTTTAAATGCGTCAAATTACTTTCTAATATTTGTTACCAAAATATGAACGAATAGAAGCCAAATTAAAAAAATTTCAAAATGATTCTCACGGAAGCCTCGGACAAAAGCATTTTTTCATTAATTGACATTTTTTATCGAAAAATGATATAAAAATGAAACGTCGCTCTCTATGGAGATAAGCATTCGCCGAAAGGATATGAGGCCATCGGTATGAGCTAGCGTTTTAAAATGGATAAAGAAGAAGAAAAATGATTTTTAATACAGCAAAGTATTTAAAAATAAAAATAATTTGATACTTACAGCGTAGTTTTATTTTATGAAAAGCTATATTTTTAGATTTTGAACAATACGTTTTCGATTTAGTAAAAGTTCGAACATATTGCGCAATCACGAGTTTTTTTTTTGCATCAGTATACCTGTATAAATACACTTTTTAGGTTTGTAGTATATATTGTATTTTATTTGTCACTAAAACCAACGTAACAATCAATCGTGAAAACGATTAGGACCTAATAAATCAGTATTACAAACGTATAGTAAACTAGTTGATATTTGTATGGTATTAGAAAATTAAATTTTGAAATAATGAAGAAACAGATTGATACAAGTTAGTTACGTCTGGTATAGTTGCAAAACGCGAAAAAGTGGGAAAATAGATAGACAGATAAATCAAAGGCATACTTCAAATTTACGTCAATATACTGTCGCACTTGAGTATCGCCCCGTGTTACGAAATCACTTTGAAGTCTTCGTGTTCATGCTGCCAGAAGCTCTCGAGATGTTAAAAATCCTCACTAACGATCCAATCAAGGTTTTTGAGATGTTTCAAAGCTTTGATCTGAAAACGGGAGTAAACACTGAGAAAAAGACTTTTTCAAAAGGATGAGTTTTAATTACCAGGCCCTCGAAGATCCCTGTTTCCATTTTAGGATGCGTAACCACAATTGAAACTATAATAATGTAGCGTACACAAGTAACGGAGCCGGTTGACACATTGAATCGCGAAGTTAATTAAATTTGGCTTATTGGTATTTGGAGGATAAAAACAACAATTTTGTTCTGTCAGGCAAACGCCTCTCATACCTTACTTGGCCACAGTTACAAATTGTTCATTCACCAAAGTCTTTGGAAATAAGTAACTATTCTTCCCACTTCAAGTTTCAAATTAGTGTACTTCCACCGGCTGCAGATAGTACAAATAGTAATTTCATACTTTTTCAATGAGTCGAGTGTTTTAAAATTTTATTTTTCTTTAGTTGCCACCGGTCAATGATGTGTCGTAAACTGTTTGCTTTCTGATTCAGAAGCTTCTTTAGAAGACAAACGAATCATCGCAATTTAACTGCTAGTTTAACAAAAATAGTAAATGATTTTTTTTACTGTATTAATTTCAAGAACGGTTTCTCCCAGTTTAAAAATGTTGTATGCAAAATCAGTTCAAAAATTTAAATTAAAAAAAATAAAAATAAATAAATATATAAATGTCAATAGCGCACCTTTGGGCGGGGAAAAGAATATAATATATCAAGCAAATATATATAAAGGGACAATATCACGCAAACGTGTTGTGTGAGTGAGTGTTATATTGAATCACTTTCCTTAAAATCTTTGACATTTTCTTTTCTTATCTGTGACAAAATCATGACTTATGGTAGAATTCGATAATAAAAATAATGATTCAACGTCATAGAATTATTCTACATCCTTATCCGGTTGGATACATTATTCGATACACAAAGAGAAATGACACCTAATAAATTCAACGTCAGCCTTACAATACTTTATAATTTCATGATGTATTTTTTTCATGAAAATCTACAAATTTACTTGAATATCAATAATGTTATCGTATGTTTGTATCATAATGTACTATCTTCGTGCTCGAATACGGTACAGTGTTCATTAAAGTGCCGTTTTTTATTTAATTTTAATTTTGGTGCAGAGAATGATAATCGGTGGTGGGGTGTGCCATAGAAATGGAATCGGCTTACACGGATATGCAAGTTATTTCACTGATTTTTACGCATATTCACATTGTGACATATTGAATAGCCCGTTCCATGTTTGTGCCATTGAATTTCTGAAGTCCCTTGACTCAGCTAGACAAGATGTAAACTGAAGAATACCGGTAGTATAGAGGATCAACATCTTCGTAATACCGTCAAATAATATTTGTTTTTCAAATAAAACGACGGACAATGGATTATGAATTTGATAATGAATGTCATGATTGTAAAGACGATTTTTGATATATTGATTTCATAAAATGAAGAGTTCTTTTGATACAAAGCAAGTTTTAATGATGAAAAATGTCAAGTTTTGTTAGATAGTGGTGACAGTAATGTATATCCGCCATCTTTGTCGATATAATTTGGGATTCCAAGTTTTTTGTTAGAGCAGGTGACAAGTTGAAGTAAGTACAAGTACAAGTAAAATTTGCAGGTTTTTATTTTTTTTTTTATGTTAAATACGTTAAGTATAAACCCTGTTATGATTGAGACCGTTCAAATCTGAATATCTAAAATTTTTGAATCGGGTCGACGAATATTTTTATTTATCAAGTGAAAAAAGTTTAGCTAGATTTCATACAGCTAGCATTCCATCTGTAAATCGTGAAACTATAAACATATATATATATTTAGAAACTGCAGTAATGAAATTGCAGTATTAATTTACGCTCAGATGAAATAATAGAAAACATATAAACTTTTCCCAGAATGTATAGTGAAAGTAGAAGTTATTTACCTTTGTTTCAGAAATTAGTAACACAAAAATCACGCTTAAAATGATTTAAATAATATGTGATTTGATTCATTTGTGATTTTATTCAGCTAACACATATATTGCTGTTAGGTGTGTATTAAAAATAAAGCTATTAGCCGAATGAACGAATTTGGAAACTCGGCGTATCGCCGTTGTGTAATTTTGAAACTATCTGTCCTGATGTACCGTTTATCGACTTTATGATTTTCACTAAGACCAAAGCGCGGACAATAATTCGGTTTAATGTTACCTTTATGGAATTCATTAAAATGAATCGTGTTTGATACTTGCGAATTTCGCTCGCTCTCGTTTGGCTTGGATACATTATCCATCCGTTATTGGTATCTTTTGTTTAAATCGGCAGCGTCGAACAAAACACAAAGTAGAGTCGTTTGTGAGAAGCACCATAGAGGTCGCGGACGCGCTCCACCTCGCGTCGCAAACGACACCCGAAGTTACAAAACTCTCCTGATCGTTTTATTCCCCGACATAGATACTTCATACGTACAAAAGCGAGATGTAATACCGTTACTTTATTTGTATCTTGTGTTGGTTGTACAATAATGTGAACGTTAATTATTTCAGAGTGATCGTCTTGTGAGACCTTCCCAGCGTTGTTTGATCTGCAATTCTACCCTTTCCTTTCGTCTTTTGTCTTCGATACCGATCGAAATAGATAGGTTTACATAACTTGTAAGAAAGATCTGTGATTGCTTTGGGTGCTTGTCAGATTACACCACCGTAATTTTCTTTCAAACCCATATCTTTTGACTTGTATCAGATTGGGCGTTTTACGGTAAACAACCAGCTGCCTTGTATCAAAAGAAGTTCTTTTAGTCGACATGTGTACAAAATATTCCCTCTATTTCAGTTAGACGGAGAAGGGTGGGGCGAAACGGTTTTGCCAACAAACTTATCATAAAAAGCAGATGGAATCTGTAGACAGAATAAATTTGTTGCTCTTTTTGTTTAGTTACAATTCAATTAACATATTCAATTTAGTGTATTCTTTATTCAATATTAGATTTTTTTGTAAAATTTTGATAAGAGTTCCAAATTATCATTTTTTTGACAGAGAATATTCTTAACTATGGAGCAAAATATCAGTGGTATAATTGCATATCCAACGACAGAACGAGGGGCAAGGAAACCGAAATGTGCTCGATGTAGAAACCATGGAGTTATATCTTGGTTAAAAGGTCACAAACGACATTGTCCATATAGAGATTGTTTATGCGCAAAATGCAACTTGATTGCGGAAAGACAACGAGTTATGGCAGCCCAAGTGAGTATTTAATTAAGAGAATATTTTCCTACAGAAAATTCGAATAACTAATATCTAAGGTCCAAATAAACACAGTTGAAATAATAAACTATTATTTATATTTGAATAGATTTCAAAAATATTATTCTTGAATTTTAATTTATGTTTTTCGAATTACACTTCCATTTAAAAATGTTGGAATATTCGACATACTGATTTAACTCATTAAAAAAGGTTAGCCTTTGGTCTAAAAATTCGGATAAATTCAGAAACAGGGTTAAAAAACAATCGCTTATTGATTCCAAATTTTTATATTTATATTTACTCATAGGTTGCACTAAAAAGACAACAAGCAGCAGAAGATGCAATAGCACTAGGAATTCGTGCTGCCAATGCGCCGACAGGAATGGGAGCGAGCGGGTATCTTGAACCAGGACCGGTTTTTCCCGCCGGTGATCCAGAAGGTTACAACGGACAATCAGATAACGATTTGGAAAATGAACCCCAATCGACCTCAGAAAGCGGTAGGTTTAAATCTTTGATATTTGTCAAAACGTGTTCAGAAATTAATTTCCTTGAAAGGATTGCCACATAAATGCTATTACATGAAAGCCGATTTGCGTTTATGCCAATTGTTCCTTAGATACATATTGAAATAAAACGAGATGGGTAGTCCTGATAACCGCTTTGTACAATATAACTGAAAACTAAATAGGATAAAATGGATATTTACCTACTCTAATCGAACATCGTTACGCCCTATTGTGGTACTTGACAGGGGTGAGATCTCAAGATTTTATTGTGCGTTTTGCTGACGTTTATGACGACATGTGAAATGCCGCCATTTTGTGTCTAGTTCAATCGCGTCCAACAAAGCGATTTTTTTCGCTACCCAATGAATTAGATTCGCTGTCTCCAATTGTATTATAGTGAAAAAATTCAAATATCCTTTTCTCTCACAGTCCTGTTAAAATCGAGTAACTCACAAAATAGAAAAATTATTTTTTTAAATTTTGATTACAGTGTTAATTCGAAGTAGGAGTAAGAGTGTAAGCGAAAGTAGTGATTTTCGTATTATTATGGCTTGCCGCCCTCTTTGTACTGCCCGTAATTAAATATTTCGAAAATTAGATTCCGAATTTTATTTTATTGAATGGAGTAGCAGTATGGTGGGGTATGAAAGAGTGGTGTCACATTACATAAAATAATGTCGTTTGTGTCAAATTTTTATTTAAAAGTGACAGATCTTATCAAATTAAAAGTAGACTTACAGCAAAACATTAAAATACTTACAGATGAAATATCAACAAATTTACCGATTGACAAAGCTAAAGATATGGATAAGAGCAAGCTAACCGTTGAGACAGGGTTAGCAGAATTTGCCTGCAAAGATGATCTGAAAAGAAAACGAGATGATGAAGAACAAGGAACGACAAAGCATAAAATGAGGAAAAATAGTGTACATGATGAAACACAAAATTCTGCAGTTAGTCTGTCAAATATTATGACTCCTGCTTTTAGGCCAGGGAGACTAAGTCAACTGGAAATTTTAGGTCGACTATTTCCAAATCAAAAAGCAAATGTACTCGGCCTGGTGCTTCAGGGATGTAACGGCGACATTGTGAAAACCATTGAACACTTTTTATCAGTAAATGAGACTCTTCCGCATATGTCTATTTCCAAACCAGTCAATTCAACTTCTTCCATGTCTTTACTACCGGAAAGTTCACGCAGAAACGTATACACAGCAGCCGTATTTGACATTACGAAAAAATTATCACCAGATTTATATGATACAGAAATATCCTCATTTGCTAAGAAGATACCTACGGAAACACCGTTCCAAAGAATGATAAACTCTGGTACATTACCTTGTGTCACTTTACCGAGCAACGATTATTCTCGAAGTATGAGTCTGTGGGATAAACCGATTTCATATGATGCACCTAAATCATTGAATATGACTTCTTGTACAACCCATTTGGGAAATCCGCTACAAGGAAATTTATCCGGTTACAACGGCCCATCGCTTGTATCGCCTTCACTCTTGAGCGCGTTTTCAACATTTCATCCAGTCGGTGGAGTTCTACCATCTCCATTTCTCCTTCCCCAAACGCCAGATAAAATACCTAACATGCCAATAAGTTCCCATTTTCCTGGCACAAATGCCGCAACAAGCCCCTTCACAATACCTCTCGGTCTTTATAGCTCCCCTTATAGTCTTTTTACAAACGGTCCAAAGAAAACAATAAACCAATAATTAACTGAGAAAATATATCTTTGTAACTTGAATAAATTCCTCCGAAAAAGTTTTCAGACTTATGTTGTTATTGAGATGAAAAGCAAAAGTTTTGGGTTTCCGATGTACGATGCAAAGAATAGTTGCGAGGGTATCGATATGTTTTAGTGTTTGTGAGTTTAGGCAGGATGGTTAATGGTTTTTGGTTCGTATACATTGATCATTCTCGACTTTCATTCGATATCGTGCCTTTGTTTTTATATGAAGAGGAGCTGAAAAGCCGCTTTCGCACGTGTGCGCTGTGGCAAACGGTAGCAAAATTCGGAAATATAGTTCAGCCAGTTGTGGATAGGATTCATACATGAAGCACCAGAACTGGGCTAGGGATTTTTCACAAAATAGACCACGTGCGACTGAATCATGACGAAGATCAAGAAATTGATCTTGCACGTCCTCTGGTACAGTGGCGTTGCATCCACCCCCGCGGTTGCGGGAGGGCCCACAGCGCAAAGGGGCCCAAGCGGTTAGAATTTAGAAATTTAAGCCGCAAACCAAAAGCTGTAGTGCAAAACAAGTAATGCACATCTTATAACGTTGATGTTAGTTCTGATCAAATCGTTTTGTTACGTAACAATGGCAGGAAGTCGTCGTTTTTCGGCGTTTTGTGGTTTGATCGCGCCGGCAAAATTACGAAGGTTGTCAGAATAATGTCGAAAGCAAAACCTCTCAGTGACACACAGAAACGCACAAAAAGGGCAGAAGAGGAAGAACGCTTGAAAAAATTAAAGTAACCAAAATAAACGGCAAATTTTAGGTTACCATTGCCTTTTTGTAGCGACATGTTATGCTTTTTGACAAAAAAAAAGCGTTGTTTTAGCTTATGTGCGAGAGTTTTTAGGGTCATTTCCACGAAATATTTTTGCCGGGGCACGAGAGTCTTGCTACGCCACTGCTCTGGTACATTACGTCCAGGGAAGAAGAGAACGGATTAAGTGTCAGAGTAGATTATTTTTCTTCTAGGTCTCGGCAGTATTTTTGAAATTCTGACTGCAAGAAATCAAGGTTGCTCTACACTGAGGGGCTACGTAACTACCGTATTTCTACGCGTTTAATACGCACTTTCATGGTCAAATTTAGTCTCACAAATATGGGGGTGCGTATTATACATGAAGAAATACGGTATTTTTGCAAAAGGTCCGTATACAAAACTTGAAAATTCCTGGGGTCCGGTCAGTTCAGAAAACGTATTCAATTCTGGGTCTAACTTTATTTTGGTGACTCTATATTTTCGGGGAAAAAGTTAAGGAAACGCGAGTCGTGGAAAACTGAGTAACCGCGAAATATTCACATCCTTTTACATACCCAAAGTTAAAACTCGACAATCCTCCAAAATAAACAAAATAAAAATAAAATCAGGCGCGGTCCGAATCTAATACTTGAAAGGTCCGGATTCGGACCGCGGTCGGCCAGTTGAGTAGCCCTGGGCTACAGTACAGTTTTTCAAATCTACCAGGGGGCCACAGGTTGAGCGGCTCTGGTTCAGCAGATAAATTAATCAGCAGGTGGTGTCTACCTCTATTATCACGCGACTGTTACGTAACAACAGACATAAAGCAGACACTACGTAACAGAAGTAAACGACATAGAAAGGTAAAACGAATTTATTGATTCATATACACAGCATTTGGAATAAAACTTTTTTATTAAATACAATATGTAAAATATTCAATCATATATTAGTTATTCAATAAATAGTCTTGCTGCACACTAACACAAATATATTTCTGTATGTCTGAAATATGTACATATGAACTATGTATGTCTGAGGAAGTTTGACCTTGGGCAGACGAAACGTTACAAAAATATATCCGTGTTAGTTAGACTATTTATTGAATTACTCAGGCTAGTTATATTCACTCTCGCTACAGCAACCTTGCATTATATGAATACGAACCCACGACGCGAAGGAAAGCATAGAAAACGGAAAAGTAGTTGGTCTTGTAGAAACCAAATCGATAGAATATATTAGTTACGTTTAACATAATTCTGTCAATTTTTGGGCCCACTTAGCAAATCACCACTGGTTTATAGAATTTATACACATTAGGATAAACGAATATGTCAGAGAAAAAAATAGCGATACGTAATCGATTTTGTACCATAGCGCCATCAGGTTCGGATGGGCTGACTGCGAATGGAAGTTTGAAGTTGGTATTTCCTGACTAAAATGCGGGATATTTTACTTATTTCATTTTTTATAGAAAACACAGTGGAAAGTATACAATAAATATTTCAATGAGTGAATTTCAATTAATACCAGTAATCGAATCCCAGTTTTGCTGACCAAGAGTGTGTTCATTAACTTCATCACATACTGTAAACGACGGACTGGTAAGATATGCATATGCAGCCTCCTCAATATGCATCCACATCAATCATGATTTTTTCTCCTCTGCCACAACAACATAATGATAGATACAATGCAAAACGTATTTTGCGGTTCTATTATCTTTGTACCTGAGTGCAGATGTCCGTGGCCCGTGGGTACAAATGTACATGAGATGGGTGCAAATGTATATAGTTGCAGATGTCATTGAATGCTGTTTATTGGTGGAAATGCACTGTCATCATAATGATCACAAAGCGATATTTTGCGCGTTGTTCATTCCAAATACAAAACAAAAACACATTTGGAGGGACTTCAGACAAATTCACTTGTGAAATTACTTAAAAAGCACAAAATCTTGCATGAATAATAAACCATTACTGCATTTTGTGAGTAAATATTCTCATGTGAGATTCCAGACGACTTTTCTAGTATTGCAGTAAATCTATAGCGTTGATGGCAAAAAAATTCAATTATCTCAATTCAAACCGCACATAAAAACAACTTTATGATTTTTCTCATTAATATTTTCAAAATGAACAAATGATATAATGCAAAGGTAAATAATTCAATGTATATTGTTACATGATGTAGCATTGTGTATTTATTGTATATATATATATATATTTAATTCACATCAAAAATATTAGAAACAGGGGAAAAAGTTTCTCATTTGGTTCATGAATAATACAAAATAGGTAGCAAAATACTAGTTTTTACAACACGTTAGTAAGCATAACAAATGTTAGAAAAATTATTTCAAAATAGACTAAAGATCAAAATCTGTGGAAGCAGCTGATCCACACAACCAACTTTTATCCCGCGAATCGATTACTAGGCGGTTATCAAGTCACTGGGTGTAGATTATAAGCAACTTAGTCACTTATGATGAGACTACAAGGAGCCTATAACGTGGTTAACATGTAAAATTAAAAATATTGGTAATTCAAATAACGTAAAACTAATGAACACACGATTTTGTCTCTAGTGTAGGATAAGATAGAGTTTTATATTTAGTAGGGATGGGCCGGGATTCGGATCCGGACTCGAGTCGAATCTACGCATTTTTTGGACTCGGATTCGATTTCGAGTCCACGTCATTTTTACCGAGTCTATAATCAATTATGTTTTTACTAATTTACGCCTATATTTGTACTTTTGCCTCTATAAATCTCACTACATACCTTAACGAGTTAAAATTCAAGGTTGAATCTGTAACAATATCCCTCACGCGTACTATAAACACTCCTAATAAAAGCGACAACAGATATCCATATAATATAATGCAAGTTAAAAACTATTAATCGCTTATAACAATGATGTTGCGCCAGTCGCCTTCAAATTATCTATCATTTTTGGTACACAATAAAATATGTGTTAGCGCAATATTTTTGAGTTTTTGATTCGCGTAAAAATGAAGCATGCTCTGGATCAACTCAATAGGGAATCTCATCGATACCTCTTTTAAATCGAGTTTATTACGTGCAATCCTTTCTATAAAAAGGGAGCAATGGAAAGCATGGAGCGTTTTAGAACGTTTACATGAACTACTAAATTGCAATCATTGTATTGACGACGAGTGGCATCTCTCTACCATTTGCGCACGCCACATAGTAAATTTAAGGCTAGAAATATCTGGAATTATGGGGAAGCATTGTAGTCAAAAGCTTTTTATTTTTCATATTGACATGTAAGAATTTTTAAATAGCCGCCCAGAATTGACGCAAGGTGGTGGGCTGGAAATCCAGTTCACAACCAAGACGCACATTGACCCACGTTTAGGTTTGTATTATGGTCGCCAAAAAAAAATAAAAATATATTTTTAAATTGATCCAACAGCTATCTGCGGAACCATTAGGCAAAAAATATGAGCAACGACGTATGTTTGTGAGCGCGCGATGCCGTAATATGGTCAAAAATGTGTTTTTCTACTTTTACATTGTGACGTCACGGACTCGGAGGATTCGATTCGAGTTCTTGACCTATTACTCGGATTCGTCGAATCTCTGTAATGCCGGACTCGTCCCATCCCTAATATTTAGCTGGGATAGAGGAGACTTTCCCCACTGTCGATTCCTATTAAATTAATTGTTAAAGTAAAAGTTGTACAAATTGCATTAGTTGATATACTTACTAGATATGATGGTATGATCGAACAATTAAGATAAAAACAAAGTTATCAAAATATTGCATAAACGCAAGAAATTTCGTGAAATTCCAAAACACAGGAAAAAAATATTTCATTTCATGGAGAGTTTTTGGAATACAGAAAGAAGTTAGTTTGTGGCGTTTGTTTCACACATAGTTTGTATGCTGCATCAGTTATTAAAATTAATAAAAAGGATGTTTAACAAGATTTCATTTTTTTAACCTCAACAATTTTGCGACAAAAGGAATATGATAACCTAAATCTACAAGTCAGCTAGATATAGGATCATCTTCGAAAAAATTCGCTGATGAAGAGACATCATGTTTTCGCTTTCGAGATCCTTCCACAGGCATGGGCTTGTTTGGCGCTATTTCATAAAATGATTCAAAAGCATTCATAGGAAAATCTGTACTTTTACACAACTTGTGCCAGTAATTATGAATTATGTTATAGTACATACAGAATAATAATGGAAAGACACTATAAAAAATATTCCACAAATCTTCATCATTTTTTATTTTTTTCAGAAGTGAATCTTCCTCCCTGTAATGAGAGCATATATTTCTGATGTATCTCAGCAGATGAATTGGACAATTGTGATTGTATTTTACTCTAGGTAATACTTTTCCATCAGCTTTCCATAATAATAGTTTATATCTTTCTTTGAACCCATGCTTTTCTTCCATTTTTTTAAACCAATTATTCTCCCCTGTGCTAGTGGAAATTGAAGCATTGTTCCTACTCACTTTCATCATGACTTCTTTCGTAATCCCTTGAGGTTGCTTTTTAGATTTGGGTAAAATATATGGGCATAAGTAATCATTTACTGCATGAAGAAAACGCAGCCGTTTACAGGCATCCCAAAAATATGGATGTTGCAGTACTTGGTAAGCACTAGGACGATGCTTCGGCTTTGATTGTAGCATTTTCAAAATGAGGTCTTTGGCAAGTTCTTCTTCGTCTGGACATGTCAATCCACTCAAATCTGGTCTTGAGCCATCAATAATTCGAGATTTCCAGCGATGTTCTTCGGATCCAAACGCATGCTTCCCACCAGATAATGCAAAATAATACACCAAACCTGCAGAATAAATGTCTGATTTCAATGACATTGTTTTTACAGGGCTATAATGTTCCGGTGAACCCCATCCGTCTGTTCCAATTTCACTGGCAGATTTAGAAATTTTAGACTTCTCTGGATTCATTTGTTTGCTCAGTCCAAAATCAGCAACTTTAATATACTTTTTATCGAGTGAACGAAGTACATTCTGAGGCTTGAGATCTCTATGAATGATACTGTTGTCATGAATATGTAACAAACCATGCATTAAATGAAGGAGTGCGATTTTCCAGTCAATACCTTGTTTTCCGGACAGCTCGTATAAAGTTCCAATCTCACAAAGCTCCATAACAATATATGAACGATTCCCCAAGCCTCTAATTTGTCCAGAATTTCTATAAAGAACTGTGTTTGGATGTGATATTAGTTTTTGCATATTGTCAATTTCCCTATGAAGTTTCTTTGTATCAGGGACACTTATAATTTTAACTGCAACCTTCTCTTTATTGGGTGAACCACCCTCAAGAAAGCCTTCATATACATCATATCCTGGTCTTAGTTGTTTGTGCTCATTGATAAGCACAGGACCCAACTCATGACCTGAAATAGACAAAGAATTCAAATGATTTAGAATAAAAATAGTAGCAGTGTTGATTGAAAAATTTCACATTGGACCTATGCACAGATATAATGATCCCAAAAACATACCGATGTAATATACCAAAACTTAATTTGTTCATATTTAGTGTTTATACCGCTTAGCAAGAGATGCCTTCCTTTGAGACTGACTAACTTTTAGCCGGACTTACAGTAGGTCAACAGAGAATTTGGAATTAATTTGGCTCCTGCATGACGAACAATTTATGCAATTCTTGTAAATTTATGAAAACTGGATCTGTGGTTGAAGTACAAAGATCAGGAAGATCAAGGAGCGGATGCTCTGAGGAAAACATTCAGGGCTGAATAAATTCCAAACTCTCTGTTGAAGAAGCGCTTAGTTTGCCTTACTGATTTATATGCGTCTTACCAAACAGCAATTTTGTACCTCATTTTTTGTTTAATTTCCTAGTAATTCTGTGGGTTGATAAAATATGCAAAGAGTACCTAAATTTTACTACCCTACTATGTTTTCTGAAGAAATGAACGCTTTATGATGAGTAATTCAAAATTAAAAGTGCATACTTACTTTTGAGACACCCTGTACAATCAAAAAATTTTGCTCTCTAAATATTACAATACCTCACATACATAAGTGACATACACTGATTGGTATGAAAGAAAAAAACTTACATATCATAATTTCATCTGAACGTACTTTTTCTCCACAATATCCATCCTCATTTTGAGCCCATAAATCAACAGAGTATCTTTTAGCAGGATGTGGAGATGGGATGAAAAAATGAGGATTATTGTTGTTTACCACAAAATATGGTGTGTCAATAACTTTTTTCATACACAAAACTTGTACACAATATGTCATTCCAACGAATGGAATCTTTTTCCATGAGACACATATTCTCTGCTCCCCATTTTCATGGACTTTCTCTATAGTCACACCTTCTATTTTTGGAGGCCTCAGCTGTAAATGCTTGAACAATAAATAAATAAATTGTTTCCAAAATTTATCCTATAATAGAGAAAAAGGCAATGAAATGACTTAGACCAGCGGTTCCCAAACTATGGGTCGCGACCCACTGGTGGGTCGCAAAAGGAATCTTAGTGGGTCGTGAAAAGATGTAGAAAGCGTTGGTTAATTATACTGGTTATTAGGATCAGTAGCGACTCGAATACGTAAATCATCAAAAAAACAAAAGAAATTAAGTTGAATTTAAATTCTAATCTCTGAATGTTTCCTTTTTACAATCTTCTCAAAGGAAAAAAAATTTGCTACACAAAAAATGACCAAGTGGCTTTTTTACGCATAGCAGTTTTGTACACTGTACAGCACTTCTTACCGTGTTTCCGTGAAATTTAGACATGATTTACGTAGATTTATTTTCTTTTGAAGAATAACACTATGATTTTTTTGGAAGAGGTCTTTTGTGTTCATTTATCAAAAATAAAATCACATTGTAGAAAATCACAAGATTTTCTATTAAACATTATATAAAAACCGACATCCATTGTTTTTATTTGTACTTCCTATACAAAATCAAGTGACAAATGTCACAATTGTGATATCACACAATCTTGAATAGTGATGTGATGATCTTCACCTTACCATCTCGCCATTGAACCTTTCCTCTCCCACACATTTTAAATTTATTTTAAGGGTAAGGTTTAAATGAAATCATTTCAAAAATTCAAATTATTATCTTATTTTCAGGCCAGGTCCTATTTTCGAGGAAACACGGTAGTTTTGCGATGATTAGCCATTGCTGTGTTCTGTGTTATATCATAAAAAAAGAAAATTAAATTAAAGTTAAGTGGGTCGCCATAAGCTGTGGTAATAAATAGTGGGTCCCAACTCTAAAAAGTTTGGGAACCACTGACTTAGACATATGACAAGTCATGCATCTTTTGCGTGGTAATCATATTCATTTTCCTTTGTTGATCGCTCTTTTATGTAAAAGAAAATTGGGAATTCAAAAAAGGTTTGAAAGTAACATTATGCTTGCAAACAACATAAATTTCACAGTATTAATAATCTGTAATGCAGTTACTCAAAAACATGACATTATTTGTTCAAAAAACAAGTTCGAGTTTAAGTTCAAGATTAAGCATTCAATCATTGACTATCAGTGAAATACAAGGGATTCAAATGGTAATAGCACCAGTCGTGATTTTAACTCTGATATATATTTGAGAAATTTTAGCTGTTCAGCATTTTTAGGATTGATTTACAAAAAAGCAGTTGACTACACTCTATGAATATCGTATGAACACCATCCCACAAACACCGCAATAAAAAATTCACTGTTAGTAAGATTGGATATATTAGTTGATAGACATATGCTTATTTTTAATGCTTATGAATTACGATATACCTGTCCAAGACAATTGTTCAAAACTTCTTCACACTTCTTTAAGGTTTCCAGAGAGGTTTTGGCGTTGTTTTTCAGGATGTCTAGCAGTGATTTGGTTTTTGGCTGATCTGGATTCTGCAATAATAATCATGAACATGAATCAACTTTATTACTTGGAACGTTGGGATTGAAATATAACAAGTCTTGGAATGAAATATAAACTTATTGAGGAAAGTCTGCATTCATCTGCACACTTGAATAATATTAATTCATTTTGTCGAAGGACTCATAGGTTGCCAAGTTATCTGATTTTAAAAGAACTACTGAAAAGCAGAAAAATGTAAAACTGATTCATTACTGTATAAAACAATTTTTTTGAAGTTTGTTACAAATTAGAAAATTCTACTTTGTTGACAAGTTGCTCAAGTATATGGGCAAATGGAAACATTCTTGTATGAACTTCTCTGTACAAAACATCATCTTCAATACTTGGAGAATTTGACGGAATTCCACTATCACCTGCAATATTAGTTGATTTAGTTTAATCTGGTGTTAATGTGCTCAAAAACGTAGTAGGTTTTGAGGGTCTAAAAAGCGTTTCAAGCCATGAAAAATTGCTATGTATGATATAAAAAAATGCTGTTAGAAATCAAAACTTGACCAAATATGTAGGGATTCGTCAGAAACAAGTGCTACAAATGAAAATTGCAGACTGAATAAATCGGTTTATGTCTGCCTTTGGAACACAATTACTTCGCTTTTATTGTATACCACAAGCAGCGTTTTGTGTGAGTCACGGCAACATTTCGCGAGTACTAGCGAGCAAATGATTTCCACACTTCGTTCACAACGGCATTCCAACATGGTGTGAAAATATAATTACTGAACACCACTATAAAAATCTGGCTAAATGGCTTAGCATTGCTTTTAATGCATCGGGAACTTCAACAGAAAAAGTTTTATGCAAAGGAAAGCTTGACGTTCAAATCTACCAAAAGATCGCTTCAACAGCCAAATGGTTTGAAAATATATATTCACTGAGCACTACTATGGGAAAGTTCCAACAGAAAAAATTATTCCTGTGTTTATGCAGAAGAAAGCTCTACGTTCAAACATTATATTGTGAATATAGGTACCTTTTATCAAGTTTACAAATTTATCAAGTTCGTATTCAGTTCACAGTGTTCTATTTTTTTTCTACATTTCTTTCAACCACTATACTACCTTCTGTATGTAATACAAATAAAGCTAACATTGGCTTCAATCATTATTGGTGGGTTCGAAGCAGCTTAATAGGAGGTCGTCGTCAGAGCCATACTTTTTTGTGAGCTTATTGGGAAGAATTATCATGTGACAAGTCGCGTTTATTAGGCCTGTGACATTAATATAAAGCTATGTTCAATGCACTAATCGCTATGTATCTGCGACCAATGTATTCTGTATAAATTAGAAAGAATTCAAATGTATCACATCCAATATCTGCTTTTCATGTTGAAATGTCATGTTGATTTCACCAGATATGTTATTAGTCAACTAATTGATTTATTCAAAGCTGCTAAGAAGAGGCATTCAAAAAAGGGAAAATGTTAAACATACCTGAAAGTTGCTCTTTAGAAGAGATATTGACTATCATAGAAGATGTGTCCGATGGTAAATCAGAAACATCTGTGGAATATCTTAAAAGAGTACATGGTGTGTAAGTATAACCATAAAAACTAAGATGTAAATGAAATTATTCAGTAAATAAAGAAAAAATATTTCTTTCGCTATGACTGCACTGTATAGCCTATACAACATAATGCCAATTTTTACATTTTTAAAAAACATAATGTTATGTTATTGCAAATCAATACTCAACCTCCAGCTATGAAACAGAAAATATGTGAAACTCCAATTTATGTATTATACCATTAGTGCAAAAGACACCTAATGTACTATGCGCTATATAAATTAAATTACCCAAGCCACAGGTCAATTCAATATTGCCAGGAAAAAACTAGCAAGAAGTGGATTCCCCCAAAGCAAAGGTTATTGGAACAAAACTATGAGCAAAGAATTTTATTTCATTAGAAAGTGGGAGTCTTTACAGTGCATGGAAAGAAACTAGTAGCAAATCTAGAGATAGATAAAAAAAAACACAAATGCGAAAATGAAAATTACTTCAAGGAAGTTTTAAATTACTCTTATTTATAACCATTTTATGAATTATTATTGTTTATTTTGAAGGATGACATGCCAACATCTGCTTGTCAATTTAATGAAGGATTGTCACATAAGTACAGGTCATTATAATTTGGAGATCACTACTAGAATTAGGTACTTAGCAATACCTAAAGACAATTTTAAGGGAGATGCATACTAAGTTTGCATTAAATTACCCAATACAGTAATAAGGTAATAAATCAAAAGTCATTTCATTCATGATACATGTTCTAATAAATTTGAAAGTTTCTGACCTGTTATATCTGGAATGTTTAGGTTTCGACATATTCTATACAACTTGTTTTTTGTTCTCAGAGATAAGCTGATTAGATGGCATAACTATGATTTTTATGCCGAATCATGCCCTGAAATCAAATATATTTGTGCAGCAGCATATTAACGAAATTACAAAACAAACTTATGAACATAGCAAATAATAACTGTTACAAGTATTCTAATAGTTAAATTGTTGGAAATTTTCAATAAAAGGACTATACTACGGTATGTCCCTATTTTCATTTAACTCAAAATTCAAATGAACTTGGAGTTCAAATGAAACTCCAAGATAGCGGTAGATATTAGATTCAATGGTTCAAACAAAACAATAAAAACAAAATTTGCTTTGGTAAAAAAGCCTTCTACTTTAACATTTTCTGGATAATAAATAAAACAAAACAAACTCACCTAAATTGGGTAGACTCGCCATCATCGCTGCATAATTAGTCCATGATGGATGCCGGTCAATGTGAACATTCATTCAAGAAACATTTGTGTCGCTAAGATGGCAACCAGTACAGTATACCGGTATCTTATACCATACTAGTATCATTATACCATGATACACCACAAACATTAAACACGCGGTGCTTTTCGTGGGGATTTCCCACCAATAGCACCCGGTCGGTGAATATACAATTATCGTAGTGAGCAGTGGCGGCGCGTGGTCATTTTGACAACCGGGGCAAGCTACTGCGGGACCAAGTCACCCCCATCTACGGGGACAGGATGAGCGCTGTAAGTCCTCCCATCATTTTATGAGAATAAAAACCATTCCATCGGTAACAACCAATCGGCAAAAGCGACAATTTTTGACGATAAGAAAGTGTCTTTAAAACCGGTCCAAGTCAAGGGATTAATAAATATAGACATAGTTTATTTTGAAACCTCTTTCAAAAGGAAAGGCAATATTTACCCAGATAAATACAATGACATATTAACAGAAACTTCGGGAAAGCGGACAAAACCTAAAATAAGGTTTAAAACGTTACTATGAAGAAAGGAAAGTTAATGCAAAGATAAGGACATGCGTCGCTCACTCATAGATATATATGCTGCTAGACTTCTACTGCTTGAACATATATGCAACACGCCGCGGTTTCTTGGAAGCAAAATGCTCAATAACGCGCCGATTAAAGTCATGCATCCCAGATATAACGTCTCTGTGAATGGGTAAAACAGCCAATGAATTTAATCTATCTTGCTTCATTGTGTTTCTGAGATACGTTTTAATACGCTTCAGCGTGCTGAATGTTCGCTCTGCGTCGGCGGAAGAAATAGGCGTCGTCAAAATGATGTCCAGAAATTTTGCAGACGCCGCAAAGGTAGTTACTAGAGTGTTATCTATGAGGAACCCATAGAGCGCGCAAGTTGATGTGATTATCAAAAAAGTTTGATTGGTGTATATACATCGCAATTCATTTTCCAATTTACTCACATTTATCATGGGGTAAAATTTGGGGACAGTAGCCAACAAATGGATGGGAAATTGACGTGCAAATTTTGAAAAATTTTTGGGGTTCATCAAAGAGAACGCGGCAAGGTGTTCAGTGCGCAGACGATCGTCTATTCGATTCACCAGAATGTCACAGCATTCCTTTGCAGACAAAATCAAACGCTGCGTTGTTTGCCCGCGGCGTAAAGAAGCACTCCATGTGTCGTCGTATTTTATTGTTTCCCGGGTACGAGATACAGCATCGCATAAGTCTGAAATACACGACTGCACAGACGCTCCATCCATCAGCCTTGACTGCAATGCGCCGTATAATACATCCACGTGATAGAATATTGTGGAGAAAAAAGCGAGAAAAAATGAAAACTCACCATCTTCTAGCAGACGCTTTAGACCTGCCGCCTCCCTCACAGAGCGCTCGTCCCAAACCGGAGAGCTCTGAATGCTATTGAAACACTCAATGAGCTCAGACCTCATTTCGCACACGCCCTGCACCACGCGTGATTGGAAGTTCCAACGTGTTGGTGCACAAGCTGGGAGACGGCGGCTACATATCTGGCGAAGGAGGTCAGAGCGTTTCGGCGAAACGGAAAAAAATGAAGAAAACCCCGAAACATTTGCAAAAAATATACGGACGAGAGGGGTAGACACATATTTTTAATAACGAGGTTAAATTGGTGTGCATAACAATGTAAAAGATGCGCATGAGGAAAATCTTCTTTTATATAAACTTGAACACCATGTTTCGACCCACTCATGACGTCATAAGTTTGCGCTATCAATTTTGACTTCGCGTTGTAAGGCTGTAACACTTCTTTCAGTACAGCCGATATCCCGCAAGCCGTGCGATCAACGATTGGTACAAAGCTGTGAAATCTCTCGGTAGGTTTACCATCTTTCACAAACCGAAAAATCACAGCCAGTTGGGAAACGCACGTGATGTCAGTTGTCTCGTCAGACTGAATCGAAAGGAACTGGCAATTCTCAATTTCCAGAGCCAAATGTTGCAAATAAATTTTATACATTGAGTCTAGCAAATCATTTTGGATATCCTTAGATGTCCCTTTCGAAACAGTTGCGGCATCAAGATGATCTCTCAATACTGTATCTAAGGATGCGGTGTATTCCACCATATCCAAAAATACCCCTCTATTAGAAGAGCCAGCCCGTTCATCGTGCCCACGGAGGGACAGCTCGTGACAACCAATGAACTTCAAAACATCTATCAATCGACCGAGAACATGGCGGTTTTTCTCGACGTTTTGGTTGTGCCGACGAATAGAAACCGCGCGTCCTTCATCCAACTGTGCTGCAATATTAACATTTCCGAATGTTCGGTATTTTACTGCATTGTCCAGATGCTCCATAGAAGATTGATGATCCCTGGCACGCTCGGAAAGATGTTTAAGATCTCTAAAACCAAATTTACACCAACGTGAGTCACGGGCGGTAGCAAAAAGTAGGCAATAAAAACAAAAAAGTGCATTTTTGTCCTCGCTGTAACACAACCAATCGTGTTTTTTATACCAAGTTTCTGCGCAGAATGTACGCCGACGCTTTCCTCCGTCATGGGATTGTTTCAGTGAACAATTTTTTGGTTGATAAGGCCCAAGACGTTGTACCTCTAATTTTTGTTCCAGCGGCAGCTGCGAAAACGGAGTGCGAAGTAGTGCATCAACCTTATTCATTATGAGGTCTAAGGCTAAGAAATGCGAAGCCGGAAAGAAGTGAGGAGCTCAAAAGGAATGTGGAAAATCGAAAGCAAATGGACTAAAGGTCTCTAACTGATTCAAATAGCGAAACAAGCGACAAAAACGAAGGCGAGGAAACTATCAACTCTTCAAGCAACCAACGAACGAGAAGGAATGCGTGAATATGTCAACACGTTGTTGTAAGAAACGTCGGCATTGTGTCGTCATAATTTCAGGGCTAGCCCCGATGATTTAGTAAAAGAAACAGAAAACGAACGAGACAAACGCGGCGAGTGGAAGATAAAAGAGAGAATACGATATACAATGAGCAACCGGGGCAAAATCGGCGTCGCCCCGTCGACGTTCGGCGAAGGCTTTGCGAGCGAAAAATGAACCATGTCGGGAGAATATGGCTAGTGTAGACAGTCTGTGCAACCGATATTGAGGTATTTTTCGAATATTTTTTATTATACCGAAAAAACAACCGGGGCATTGCCCCGGTTGGCCCTATTGACGCGCCGCCACTGGTAGTGAGTATGATAATATGATTACGTTCGCGAAGGCAGAATTTGTACAATAAACACGGTTTCGGTCGCATTAGGTACCAACTATCGAAGGTTTCTGAGTATCATAATAAGTAGATAGAGTTACTTTTTCAGCTTTACGATATAACATTCCAACACGGTAATGTCATTTGGCCTCACGGAACATTTGTTAGCGACAAAATCTTCTTTGAGAAAATACTGTTATTGTGAAAAGATAATATTATTATAATACATTGCAATAGAAGATGGTTGTTCTGGTATGATCAATATGTATTTTAATGCTGAGTTGAGTGGCATCTCAACTTCATGTTTTTCAATACCGGATGTGAGTCAGTATAATTTTATACTTTAATAAAATAATTCACAATATTCTAGAGTTACAATCACGTGACCTCGATATTTCAACTTTGTCTTCGAAGTTTTGCCGACTCATTTCCATCTTCCCATATAAACTATATTATCCGAAATGTGATGTCAATATTCAATATTGTATACATTTACTTGTTAATGCGGCATGGAAAATAGAATCAACGTCTCTCTCTCTCTTTGTCAAAAGTATTTTCTGTTTAAGTTATGTGGTATTTTTCACTACCTCGTATCTTATTTTTGATCTCTTTGACTTGAACTGATTCAAGTCTCCCGGCAATTAGTGGCGAGTGATGTACCACAATTCCTATACTTGGCCTTGAAACTGGAGTCCATAAGTGATACCGTGATGATGGCTACTTCAAGATTTTATAGAATTATTTTCTGTAGGATTCTATACTTCGCTCTGGGTAGAGAATGAAGTAAATAGTCATGTGTACCAATTATTAACGAAGCTGAATAGCCATGAGTTTTTCCGATTCTATATTGCCTGTCCAGTTTAATATATGTTGATTGTGTACAAGGGCATTGATATATCTAGGCCGCCATACAAAAATAATTCGCCGATCCTACGCGACAAAGCTAATATGATTTCATATAACATGACTTTAATATCAAGTTATTTTAACAAAATAGGTCCTTAAAGTCCATCAAGAGGTCTCGCTGTTCTTGTATACCTTAATTATATTAAAATATTACACAATGAATAGAACATACATCTTGTTGAGAATAAATTTTTTATTACATTTTATATATATATATATATAAGTAAATACAAATTCATAAATTAAAAAATCAAGTCCATTTGAGGCGCCTTCGTATCAAAGCTCCTAAAACAAAATACAGAAATTCGTAAATTTATTCTCAGTCATTTTCTCATAATACTTGGAAATGAGATATTAAGATAACAAAATTAATCTCATACAAATATCAAAAAAACAATTCCAAATAATGAAGAAAATTAGTCACACAGATTCGGATTAATTGCAAATAACATATTTGTGGTATTTTTGTTTAGGGATTTTTCAAGAAGAAGATAAGTCCACGAGCACTTTAGTAAAAGATATGATAACTGATAGAAATGAAAGACTAAAATGATTAAAAACACTATATATACATATATTTATAACTTCAATTTTAATCAAAACATTATTATAATTATAGTACAACTATTAAACAGATTAGGCAGAAAATAAACAAACCTAAATCGTCCCCTCGTGTTGATGATGCCATCATATTTCTCTGTGCAGCATTCGTTCCAATCTGCCAATGCATAAAATGGTAAAATAAAACTGGCAAATAAATTCACATATGATGGCTTTCAGTATAACTACTTACTGGTCATCAAATACGCATGTCACTTTTAAAAGAAACAATAATGTTCTATTGAGAGATTAATATTTTTTCAATTTATTTTAGAATTTAAATGAAGCGATACTTAATAATATACAAAGCAAAATAATAATATACTTCTCACCTTGACAAACGCATCATTTTTGAATAGATTCACGTCGATACCAAATCTCCCAAATACTTTCAAGTTATTTGATTTCCCGGTTTGAACCTGAGATTCAAAACGAAAATATTTCTTGAAATGGCTTATTAGATTGTACGTCTTACTATTTTAGAGTAGGCGGAAGCAATATATATACAATACGATTTCCAAGGTTCAGTTATAGAAAGTACATAAGGATGTCAATAATTGTAATCACTTATTGATAGGACATGTTATTTTCCAAGAACCAGGTCGTTATCCAATTTCATTACCTATGGTCCTATATGATATTTTATACAAAGCTTCATGGTGAAAACGTAATGACCTCTGAAAGTGTTTAGGCAGGCGTTTATTCCGCTAAAGTAGCACTAATATAAGGCCCCGAAAGTAGGGACTCATTTTACCATACAATAAGGGTATAGCTTACTTACTTACCTTCGTAAATCGAGCGCCTTTAATTGTCTGGACATCAGTGCCGAATCGGCCGAATAGCACCAGTCTGTTTCGTACCTAGGATTCAAAATAATTTGTGATGAGAACCATATGCTAATTTTTATGATATTCAGATATATGAAAATACTTATATACAGTATCATAGTCCAGTTGATGTAACCTACTCTTACCGTTTTCCCTGTCCGGACATTGCGTTTTTGTCCCTTAGCTTCCTTCTGAAATGAATCACTGAAAAACATTAAATAGGTCTTATTACATTATTCTTTAAACAGTAAAAATATGCATTAGGTATTAGAATAAATATCAGTGATTTTGAAAAATCACCCATAATTCAAGACTGTAAAACCAATGGTGTTTTATCGAACATATGGGGAGTGAAGTCCGGGCGCTAAATTGACAAGGTAAATGTATTATTACATGTATTATGAATGCCTCAAAAAATGCGACTAGAACTATTTTTTTCGTTCAAACAATTTTTTGGGTAAATTTAAGAAAATCGTGCGAAATAAAAGGTTTTGTTTAGTTTACGATACAAAAATATCGCAACATAATGATGCTCATTCATGTTGGAATACTGTACTTGAACAACTTGACAATTCTCCAATATTTTCACCAATATATAAGAGTGTAATAATAATACCAGAACAGCTTCAATCTTGCTACTGAAGTCAATATTTGCAAAAAATTAGGATGACTTTGCAAAACATCACACACTTACCAGATTCACGCGACATTGTCACAGTGTAAGCAAGAGTATATTAAATTGATCATCACTAAACTAGGTTCCACCAATCTTTACATCATAATCCTGTGCATGATCTTGGTTGGTTTTCGGTAAAACGTTTTTGAAATAATGCGAAAGGGTTTGCGGTTTGTGAATGGATTGCTTTCAATATCAACAATGGAATGTGTTAGGTATAAAAATAAAAAATAATGAAAATTATTTGTCTGCGAGTTCATCAGGTACACACAAAAATCCATATGAACCAAAACTCCCAGGTGTATTATGTATAGACTTACTGCCCAATTTCATTCGGAAAACCAGGATCTACGGGTGTACCATCCGAAGCAGGGTACACGGGTGTACCATCCGACGCTGGGTCCACGGGTGTACCGTTCGACACTGGGTCAACGCTGCTTCCTTCCTCTAAGCGTGTTGCGTGGGTCTGCCCCATATTTCAATAATAATTAGGAATAGTAGCCTATTATCAATACTAGCAAGTATTTAGCTGTAAATAAATAAGTAATGTGATTGATTGTGATAAAAGCATAGATAATTCAGACTAAGATTGTACATAAATTGCGCCGATCCCAACTCTGGTGAATCCCTCATGTTATATTTGTTAGTAAATTCAGCTATATCAATTTATAAAACTACCAATGTATTTTCTTGGGAGGTTGATTGTTTAAAAATCCTGATATAGTTTATATATAACGTTATATTTAGCTGATAGTTCGAGTAAGAGGCTACATATTACTGAGGCTACATGATACGATACACGACACGCTTCGTACGACCATAGAATTACTACTGACATGCAGGTTAGTAACAGAGAAATCAAAACAATCAACTAGTCGCAATATCACCTAGTCGAACGAGTTAAAGTGAGATTACTTTATGATAAAAGTTGACGGAACTTCAGTCACTCAAGTATCCATGGCAACAATGCTTCATATTTAATTGTTACGTCATTTTTGTAGCTAAGAAACCGAAGTTTGTAGGCTTCATTATAGTTGCCAGATATTCATCGGTGACCCATATGATACACATGGCCCATACAAAACGGCGCTCCAGAAGTATGTGTACCAATATGAAGGTAACTAATTATGTTCGCCTATTTTACATTAAGTTGTGTAAAGGGATTGAAACCTATGGGTAGGGGGGTATTCATTTGGGTATCAAAGACAGTCCGCAAACTCGTAATAGAAGTAAAATAAGGAAAATTATGGCCTAACACTAACCTGGTACACATACTTCGGAAGTACCAATAAAACGATATTATTGGCCAGTATCTTATTTATAGAGATGCCATCTTTTTGTGGCGTCATTATTCCGCATGAGTAAAGACGTATATTCTCAGCTTTCCCTCTGCCGCCAAAGATTTTAACCAGACGTTCGTTTCTTGCACCAAGCTACGCGCATTACTCAGCTATTGGACACGTAGTGGGCATACCGATCGTTTCAAAATTTTGTTGTTATTGTTATTATTTGTCTCCGTCATTTAAAAAAAAAATCGCTTTTACCTTTGACTACTGGACCAATTGCTTCGAAATTTTCAGTGAGTAAAGATTGATTTTTTTGCCAGAAGGCTATTACTTTTATTTCTTTCTAAATTTCGCATGAAATCTGATATTTCGTCTAAAATTTCGCTGTATTATTTTATCCATGGGAACACTGGCTGTCCGGTTTGATTCTGTAAATTATTTCTACGCAAAACTCGGAATTTTTTGTGGGTACCGGTGGCGTCAAAGGTAAATACTGCTTTGCTCTGGTTAATTAACGTGTCCATATATATGAGCACAGCTCTCTTGTTTTGTAATGCTTCGTTTGTATACACTATAAAATCACGCTAGCTTTCGTTTCGAGGCAATATTTATGTCACAGACAGTTAACTTGGCACAACAGTGCAGTAACTGACAGTAATAATATTATTCAAATATTGCTATCTAATTTTTGGTATCTGCGTATTTTGCTTTCAGGCTCATACCACAGGCGACTTGGCTGTTGGCTGTCTGTCTGACTTGTCTACCGGTATAGTTCTTTCTAATCGTACTTGAACAGGAATTCGTTAATTCAACTTTTGTGAAGAAGGGATGACAGTTTCGACAAGCAAACCAAGATTTTGTTGTATCAACGGGTAATTATTGGACATGTAAGTGGACATAACGATCGTTTCAATATTATGTTGCTGTTGTTATTCGTCACATTATCATTAAAAAATTGCTTTCCTCTTCGAATACTGGACCAATTGCATTGAAATTTACAGTGGTTAATTAAAGATGGAATTTTTTTCCTGAAGGCTATTACTTCTATTTTCTTCCAAATTTTCTGTAAATCCTTTGAGATTTAATATTTCATCAAAAATTTCGCTGTATTACTTTTTAATCATGAGAACACGATTTTTAATCCGCCAAGCGTGACGGCCAATTCTCAAAATTCTTGCCAAAAAACTAGGGATGGGAAGAGTCCGGCATTACAGAGATTCGACGAATCCGAGTAATAGGTCAAGGACTCGAATCGAAACCTCCGAGTCCGTGACGTCACAATGTAAAAGTAGAAAAACACGTTTTTGAACATACTACAGCATCGCGCGCTAACAAACATACGTCGTAGCTCATATTTTTTTGCCTAATGGTTACGCAGATAGCTGTTGGATCAATTTAAAAATATATTTTTCTTCTTTTTTGGCGACCATAATACAAACGTAAACGTGGGTCAATGTGCGCCTTGGCTGTGAACTGGATTTCCAGCCCACCACCCTGTGTCGATTCTGGGCGGCTATTTAGAAATTCTTACATGTCAATATGAAAAATAAAAAGCTTTTGACTACAATACTTTGCCATAATTCCAGATATTTCTAGCCTTAAATCTACTATGTCGCGTGCGCAAATGGTAGAGAGATGCCACTCGTCGTTAATACAATGCTTGCAATTTAGTAGTTCATGTAAACGTTCTAAAACGCTCCATGCTTTCCATTGCTCTTATTTTAGAGGAAGGATTACACGAAATAAACACGATTTAAAAGAGGTATCGATGAGATTCCCTGATGGGTTGATCCTGCGCATGTTTCATATTTATTTACGCGAATCGAAAACTCAGAAATATTGCGCTGACACATATTTTATTGTGTACCACATGTATACCGAAAAAGATAGATAGTTTGAGGGCGATCAATAGTTTTTAACTTGCGTTATATTATATGGATATCTGTCGTCGTTTTTATCAGGAGTGTTTATAATACACACGAGTGATATTGTTACATATCTAACCTTGAATTTCAACTAGTTAACGTATGTAGCGAGATTTATAGGGGTAAAATTACAAACATAGCCGTAAATTAGTAAAAACAGAATTGATTATAGACTCAGTAAAAACGACGTGGACTCGAAATCGAATCCGAGTCCAAAAAATGCCGGGATTCGACTCGAATCCGAGTCCGGATCCGAATCCGGCCCATCCCTACAAAAAACTCGAAAGATTTTTGAGGTTACCGGTACGCGTAATGTTGTGAACTACTGCTTCGCTTGCTGTCCATATATTTGTAGACTGCGGTATTTACTGTTATGATACGTAGTACTCGAATCAGTTGGTATTTTAATTCACGTTGAAACGAAATCGTCACAGAACCTAGAAAATCCGTGTACCTGTAACAGTGCCGCTTTGCCGATATGGAAGCCCAAACAGTCTCTTGAAAGCGGGGCTTGCAGTCAGAGTTATAATCAATGTCTTTTATATGGGCGCTTTTTTGGAAATAGGTAAACTGTGCCGTACGGGTACCGGTACTAATAAGTCACGTTACAATAGCCATGTGGATGTTTCACTGTTCAGCTTGTTGTATGGTTTTCGGTGAAGTGATGATAAATTATCTTACGAGTCCATATATTTGAGCATAGCTCTCTTGTTGTTATTATATATAGATTGAGTGCTTTAAATATTTTATCATTTCAGCTGGAACGCATTGTTCAGTGCCGGGGTGCAGCTACTTATATGTCAAGTCTAAGAAAGCAGGAGAGTCTGTGAATACTTTCTTTTCTGTTCTTCGGCCCGATCTGGCGAAGACTCGCGAGGAAAGGAAACATCGGGAAGGGTTGTCCAGTTTTTAATTGGCAATGAGAGACAGTAGCAGAGGAGATAACATCAAAGTTATGCTTCATAAGGAAACGTGAGATACTTATCTAGACATACTAAACATATGAACAATTTCTACTTCCTACAAAAGAGTAATTGCATTCAGATTGTCTGCTGTGTAGATTATCAAAATAATAATCAGATTATCATTTATCAGAAACCCAGAATATTTGTGTTAATTTTTCTTATTGCATTTAGTTGGTATTTGCTAAGCCTACCAACCTAACTAATTTGTTTTGCATTTAATTCGAATTTTGATTGAAATGAGCATAGCTAGCTTTTGACATTTTCATATTGTTAACCAATATACTGTACTTTTTCATATTCAGGGCCTCAATTGGTGAAAATGGATTCAGCATGGAAAAAAGTCTCGAGCAGTTTCATGCAGAAAAATTTTCAGTTCAGTTCAGCTGTGTACCAGGAGAAAACAAGACCTCTCCCAGTTGTTCGTGAACCACTGCCAAGAAGAATTCGATATCGATTTGCCAGGAGTTTGGTCAGTGCAACTTCTTACTTGTTTCTATTTATGGAAGGTATGTAGCTTTTCAATTTTTTTTGCTTGTCCAAAATTTTTGCAGTTTGATTGGACTTTTTATACAAAGATAAGTGGGCTTTGTATGAGCGCCAAGGAAAATTTATTGCAGAGATGGGAAAAGATGATTACTGCGTGCCTAGTATACGGTAATTGTTTTGATACAGAAGTTATTATTGTAGCTTGGTTTTCAACTTGCATGGAATAAGATAACATGTCAGTTTTTAATTATTAAGTAAGTCGGCCATTTGAAAAAAAAAAATTCTTGTTCCTGTGTCAGGTATGCATGTATTGGCCATTCATATGATTTGGAATTGTCAACTGTTCCTGTAATTGACGCATACGATGTGTTGAAGATGATAAGCCAGGGGTTGGCAAACTATGGCCGCGGCCCAGATCCGACCCGCGGAGTGAAATAATCCGGGCCGCGACGCTTCACTGAATTATAGTAACAAACAGGCTGTTTTGACGATTATATTCTTTACGTAACAGAATTCATTGTGAGACACGTGTAGACTAAATTATAATATAACCTAACAAGTATATAATTCACAATTACTCGGTCAATGAGCCTATAATTTATTTATAAGTAGACAATTGGCAACAAAACACAAAAAAGTTGATGCTATGCAAATGGTTCAATGGCGAAGAAAATATTCAAATCGAAGTTTTGTAAATTTGTGTAAATCTGTGATGTATCACTGCTTTATGAAAGTATCTTCTTGAAAAAAAAGCCGAGAACTCAGATTAGTGATTCTCATTTATAAAATTTTTAATCTTGGCTTTCACCAGTTTCCCATTTAGTGATATCGAAAACGTATCAAGCGTGATGCAAAAAAAAGTGTCACTATAAATGTCATTTGTAAAAAAAAATCTTCAAGTAAGACGACCAAGTTGAGTTCACGAGTTGTCTCGCGCTGCTTAAAATTTCAACTTCTGATCTGTGTGAAGAAATTGTGATTTATCGGCCATTCGTTAGGTTTTTAACTTTCGAAAAAGATGTGCAACCCCGGATTTTGGCGGGCTAGCGACAAAAGGTTGCCGACCCCTGGTCTAAAATTTAATTTAGAACACTGTACTTTCAAACAAAATTGATGGACTTGCTTGTCGGAAAACACACGCATAGTCACGCATAGTTTAGTATGTATTGGATCAAGCGGGCCTTCAGAGAAGTAGCTTTTATCTCCCAATGTAACGTAACATTACTGCGAGTAGCATTGAGGCAGCGCGCAAGCAACGTACCCGAT